GATAGGTCACATCCTAGAGTACGGGGATATAGTAAGGTACAGTGGCCGAAATGGCTCAAAAAGAGGCTACATGTAGCCGAGCTACATTGGTAACAACAGAGTTCAACATAATCAAATCAATATCTAATAGCCAGAGGGATGTAGATTGCCAACGATATTCAAAAGGACTGTCTGGTGGTCAACTTATTAGCATATAATAAATTCACATATCTATGATGCTCTCCACTTATAAGGTTCAGCTCAAAACTTGAATATGTGATAATATACCACAACAGTAAAGACCCAGTCTGTTTTACCAGCCCTGTTTGTGATCACCATAGCAATATGGCTAAAGTGACAACTATTAGGGTATAGTCCAAATGGTATCTATAAGCCACTGTACCTATTCCAAATTGGTATGTGTTAATAGTGTGACAATTATACGAAAGCAGACACAATATCTGCTCAAATTTGTCAAGATATAAAAATAATAGTATCCAAATGATGATGTTATTAACAATTAGTGCCATTAACATAGGACTGCATTATCCAGATCCTAAAAAAGTTTATTATGAGGAAGAACATTTAGTTAGGGGGTTATAAATAACTGCCAATTTTAGTTGTGAATAAATGCTGTGTAATTGAATTCCTCGTTAAGACCCAAGGGGACCAGGGTCTTAAACGAAAAAATCCACTTTGATTCTTTCTTAAGCAAGGTTTTGTTAAATTCACGCTTACAAGGATTAGGTAACAATTTCTCAATGACCTGGAATCTCAAGTTATTCGGATCCCCATCATGGAAACTGAGAATATGTCTCGCTACCGGAGTGGGTGTAACAGAGGCAATATGTTGAAAAATCCTGCGCCTAAACTCTTGGTAAGTCTTTCCGATGTATTGAGTGCCACAACCACAGGTAATGAGATAAATCAGTCGTGTAGAACTGCAGTTGACTAGGGCATTGGTCTCAACCCTAATCCTAGTTTGGGTGGAGGTGGTAAATTTAGAGGGCAGAATATATTGGCAGGCCTTACAGTGCCCACATTTGAAAGTCCCATTGCTGTTTGATAACCAACTCGTAGGTGGTGAAGGAGATGCCAAATGGCTGTGGACGAGTTGGTCCTGTAAATTCACTGGTCTGCGCGCTGTTAAAGGTGGATAGTCTGGTAAGACTTGTTGAAGTGTTGGGTTGTGTAAAAGTATCGGCCAATTTTTCTTGAGAATTTGGGACATAGGTCCCCAACCTCGATCGAATGTGGCAATACACCGAGGAGCCTTACATTCAATCTTCGGTTTAGTGAACTGGAGACTGGTATTCCTGTCAATGTTGCACTCTGTGAAAGGCTTGTTTTAAAACACGGTTGGGGTACTCTAGTTCCCTGAAACAAGATTTCAATATTTTGCATTCATTGTAGAAAGTTTGGTCAACGGAGCAATTTCGTCTTGCCCTCAAATACTGGCTAAAGGGGATAGAAGCCTTTAGTCTATAGGTATGGTGGCTCTCCCAGTGTAGCAAACTATTGGTAGACGTAGCCTTTCTAAATAATTCAGTCTGGATGGTACTATCTTGTTGCAATAAGATTTTAAGATCCAAGAATACCAACTCATGTTCATCTATCACGTGAGTGAGTTTGAGGTTAATGTCATTGTCATTAAGGGTTTTGACAAAACCCTCAAACATGGGGACAGAGCCCGTCCACCGGAGCAGCATGTCGTCAATATATCTATGCCAGCTTAGGCTGTATTCATGAAAGCGGCTGAATTTGGGTGTTGTGACGACATGCTGTCCATATTGTGAAGTGCGCTAATTTCATTTACATAGTTATACAGCTGAAAAGAGATATGCGCCTATCAAGTTCAGCCTCTCTCACATTTGTTCTTGCCATTGATCCAAAAGATGGCATAGGTGGGTACACAGGCCCTAGAACAGATTGGCATAGGTGGGTGCACAGGCCGTCCCCATAGCAGTACCCGAGATCTGAAGATAATAATGGCCGTTAAACGTGAAATAATTATGTGTTAAGATAAACTCAAGAAGGGCCAGGATGAAATTTTTCTGTTGGTCATTATGAGATATATTATCTAAAAAGGATCGACATGCCCTCAATCCCATCTCATGGGGAATATTAGTGTACAATGCCACCACATCCAAACTAGCAAGTTGTGTGTAGGGGGGAACTGTCATGTCCTGTAAATTTAAGAGAATAGACTTCGTATCCTTAAGATACGATGGTAATGATAATACCATAGGGTGTAGAATTTTATCAATGAATCTACTTGGAGATTCTGTAAGGCAGTTATTTCCAGACACAATGGGTCTACCAGGAGGAGGTCTAATGCCCTTATGTACCTTCGGCAAACAATAAAATGTTGCAATAGTGGGATTTTTATGTGGAAGCAAGAAGCGGAATTCATCTTTACTGATCACCCCTTGGTCTAACGCATCATTCAAGAGAGTGTCAAGTTCCCTAACAAAGTTAGTAGTAGGATCTGAGGTGAGTGTCCTATAGTGCATGTTGTCATCAAGGTGTGCCATGCACATGCTAACATAGTCAGATCGATTAATAAGGACAATGTTTCCCCCTTTATCAGTTGGTTTTATTATTATATCTGAAAGTTGTTCTAATTCCTTTAAGGCTTCACGTTCACCAAAACTCAAGTTACTGGTGACAAATTTGGTGATATATTTTTTATTTTCTCACCTTTTTGCTTGAACTGCCGCAATTGACTTGTTTAAGTCAGGCAGTCATAGCTAGGGTTTTTGTGTGTGTTTTTCTGTGTTTTTGGTTTTGATTAATAAAGTATCGTAGATTTTGATTTATTGTTTGTTTTTTACCGCATGTCACACTGGACAGTGGAAATTAGGACAGATTTATGCCTCCTTTTTTTGTTAAGTCTATACAGACTTTTAAATAGCAATTGGATAAATACTTGCAAAAACAATGTACAGACAGGGATATCATTTTTAATTAGTGGGGTAATAACTTCTTGATCCACGGAAATATCGGACTGCCATTTTGGGGTCAAGAAGGAATTTTTTCCTAGTTTGTTGCAAAATGGGAAGTGCTTTAGACTGGGTTTTTTTTTTTTTTTTTAACCATCTTTTGGATCAATGGCAAGAACAAATGTGAGAAAAGCGCCTATCAAGTTCAGCCTATCTCTTTTCAGCTGTATAACTATGTAAATGAAATTAGCGCACTTCACAATATGGACAGCACTTAAGTCGTGGTGAAAATTTAGGTCTACCTGGCACCTTTCCCGGTGATCTCCCTTCCAGATAAACAACCCAGCAGGTTCCCAACCGGACAGGTATGCTCTGCTCGAAGACTCCATCTGGGCTGTGTCCACCGCACCCTGAACTCCATCCTCATTGATAACCATATCCCTAAGATTATGGATCTGTTAGGAACTAGTCAGCCAATGGGCAGAGAGGTATGCAGGGAGACTTTCCAAGGGTCTTCAGATGGCCATTAAATCCAATGGCCATTAAAGTCTAAGCTCACCTGCCATGTCAAGACAAACCCTTAGTCTTACACTAGCAATGCAAAAAAAATACCCCTATTTGTCTCAGAGATTTTTACCTTCAGCTTCAGATAAAAAAAATCTCTGAGACAGAGAGGGGTATTTTTCTAAACCCCAACATACTTATTAACCATTAATAGGAAACACATGGGGTGGGCGGCACTACTGTAACATGGCTGTGAGATACAAAATCAAACCCCAATATACAAAATTAATCCCTAAGCTCAAACTCCCACTACTCCTGGGCGGAAGTTACTTGTCCACATTTAAATAATTGGGGTGATCTTCTTAGTATCACTCCACGACCGTTCAAGTGTAAGTTTACACTTTGGTAGTGTACAACTGTCTTGTTATCAAGGGGTCTTAGGGTTCATAGTTAGCACTTCATGGAATGCAGGGTATGCAGTTCGGGTCAGTGTTTAAAGGTTTGCTGTATGTAGGATATTATAGAGTCACTGCTTTAACGTTCAAGTGACCTAGAGGTAGCTGTTTGGGTCGATGCTTTAGGACTTGAAGTCCACTTATAACTTTATGAGAGTAAAGTATGGAGTCTTTAAGTTAAAGGGGGTCTACCTTTAAGTTACTCTGGGCTAGAATGCAGGTAGGCAGGAATAACTGATTACATTATTATTGATAAAGCGCCAACAAATTCTGCAGTGCTGTACAATGGGAAATCTAAAAATAACTGTAAATTAAAGCTGTCTTAATAATCATACATTTATAATTCATTGAAATATCATATCATCATATTATTATTTAAAAAAAACAAAAAACTACATGCTCAATCAAAACTATATGATCAGGTTAATCTATAAATGTAAGACTAACAGGTATTCAAAATATTATTTAAGGCAAATTCAACTATCAAAATATAACATCTGTATACATCTATCCATAACTGCACAATACATAAGTATACATTTTGGGAACCATGAATAGTAAATTGTCTATACCTTTCATTATTCCATAAGTTCCTGGAATGGACGAAGCTGCAATTACATTCATTATGAAATGACGTATGGTCCGAACTATGTCAAAAGCATTATCAATCTGGAAGTTCCTGTTCCTCAAGGGATTAAAACACAATCAAGTATAGCAGTTTTAGGATCTCTTTTTTAACAGGCAATATATTTAAAAAAAAAAAAAAAAAAACTTTAAAAAAACACGGTTATAATAAACATAGAATGTGACGGCAGATAAGAACCTTTCAGCACATCTAGTCTGCCCAATTTTCTAAATACTTTCATTAGTCCCTGGCCTTATCTTATAGCTGGGATATCCTTATGCCTATCCCACACGTGCTTAAACTCCATCATTGTGTTAACCTCTACCACTTCAGCTGGAAGGCTATTTCCATGCATCTACTACCCTGTCAGGATAGAGCTGCTCCCCCTGACTGTTATGCTCTTGTTGCATCCCTCCCCAATACAGAAGATTTTAACATCCTCATGGAGGATGTGCAGCGGACCCTCAGGTCTGAATTGGCTGACATCCAGCAGTCCCTCTCTTTACTCAATGTTAGGCTGCAATATGTGGAGGCCACACAGACAGAGACTAGCATTGCCAAAGGAATAACAGGCACCTGAGGACAGCACTATACAATCCTCACAGACATCAGGTACCAGCTTGAGGGCCTGGAAAATGTGCAAAGAAGAAACAGAGTAAGAAGCCTTGGGGAGATGGAGGTTCGGGTAGACCTGGGAGAGACTAGAACAGCCCTATTCAATTACATACTAGGCCAACTTGCACGTACCCCGGTCCCTATGGACAAAGCACATAGAGCCCTACACCCATGTTCCATGACCTCTGGCCCACCAAGTAATGTTATTTGCTGCATTAAAGAATTCCCTCTTAACGGTGAGTTTATACAGAAGGCACACAATTGAAATATACAATGACCTGTGAGGAGTAACTTTCCACACCTGTAGAGCACTGAAACCAGTCACCAATCTACTGTCTGCACACTGTCTCCCAAATCCATAGCCTACGCCTTTCGGGACTACTACATCTCACTCTACAATATCACCCCTGATTGAGGCCCCGTGGCATCTCTGACACCTACAGCAGAGGTGACAAAATATCGGACGCAACATATCTGCCAATCGCTATCCGCAGAGGAAACAGAAATATAAAAAAAGTCTCTTTGGACCGACTGCACGCCTGTTTGCAAGCCCAAAACAGTTCCACAGACTCAGGCTGTGCAGTCTGTCTATTTCTGCCCTGAAAAATGGCAAAGTCCCATCCGAAGGTGGCGTTCCAATCGTCAAGCGCACTTCGGTCGAAGTGAAACCGGGGTTGTGTTCCAGTGGTGTTCGATGGTCTATTTTACACCAGAGCGACTAAGTCCCATTTGAACAGGTGTTCGAATCTTCAAACGGGACTTAGTTTCCAGCCGCAGTGCCGAAGGGTAGGGGAAGGTACAGGTCAGCGGTGTTTGTTCCAATGTGTGGCCAATTTCCGTTCCAGGGATTTGACAGCACACACCGCTGACCGCGTTCGACAGGATTAAAATGGCCACCGCTGTATCACGAAGTGCCATATCAAACATACTAATCCTTTGTACAAAACAGTTAAAGGGCCAGACATAATCTTGGTTCTTTAGGCACAGGCAATGTGGGTGAAGGTAAACCAAACACAACGGTAGCGGTTCCCAGGCAACATGGTAGGGGGTTGTTACACCTGGTATATGTAATCCTCATTCGGTAGTTTCCTCCTGAACCGCCAGAGCGCCAGTGAATATAGCTCTCCGTTCGGTAGATGAAATAGACGAACTGTATAGTAATCCAAATAGCTTCAGAAGAGAATTCCCTTAATAAAGCACACGAAGCCCCAAACATCAGCCGAAGTCAAGAAGAAGGGTACAACTGAACTGAGCTTTAATGATCACACACAGGCTTTTATGCAAGTCCCCATGCAAGGGGACATCCCACAGGGAGGGACAGAGTTTAACCAATCCGGCACAGTAAAAACATAAAACACACCAGGTACACACATACAATTCCCTCCCCTAGTCCTGTAGATAATCAAGTCTGATAAAATAATAACTTTATTATCTCCAGGCAGAAAAATCAAAATTTTCCCCAATATCTGGAACACCCCTTTATACATGAGGTATCCCCACAAATAATATGTCACCTGATAGCCCCGATCTGGGTGACCAACATATTCAAATTTCACCCAGATCGGTTCAGGGGTTCTCAAAAAAGGTGGAAATCCCTTCGGCTAACCGTGGGCTGGCTGCCCAAAATAGTTCCATGAGTTTGGGTGGTTTTGCCGGTCACTTCAGTAAAGGGGAAACAAACTAATAAAATACCGAATGGATCCCCCTGGCTCTCAGCAGCGATTGTTCCCCTCTGTCGTATGCACAAAAGTACCGAATAGCGCTCTTCTAGCTATTTGGGAAATATAGTTCCAGCGTTCGTCTGTTGGAGACCGGTGTTTGGGAAGTCGAGTGTCCAATTTTAGTTCCAGACACTCGACAACCAAGTCCTGCTGCCTTTGTTCGGCTGAAAAAAGATGGCCGCGGTTTTCTCCGCCACGTGGCGTTCGGACGAACGCTGGCCGCACAGATAGAGGGGTTAATTGACGAATCCTTTGAAGCTGAATGAGCCAGGAGGGTGGTCTTTGTTCGGTAGTTAGATCTACCGAATGAATAAAGGTGAACTAAGGTGAATAGATAGGGATTTCTTCACAGATATGTTGCTCCGTATGTGGTTTAGAAATGGTTCCAGCATGAGAGCGAATAGAAGCTTTGACAGGAGGCACCCCTGGCGTGTTCAGTTCGTGATTTGGAACGAGTCCGACAGCACTCCAGTATGCGCAGTTTTGCCGATGGGCTGGTGTACAGGGCTTCAATCCAGGACATGAACTTCTGGCCCACTCCTAGGGGGCGCAGGACGGCGAACATAAGCTCCCAGTCTACCCTGTCGAACGCCTTTTCTGTGTCTGTTGACAGGAGTAGAACTGGGGTGTTGTCTCGGCGTGCCAATGCTATCAGAATCAGCGCCCTGATGGTGTTCTCCCTTACTTCCCTGCCCGGGATAAACCCTGTTTGGACCGGCTTGATGATGGTCAGCAGCAGCGGGAATAGTCGGTTGGTCAGGATCTTAGTGAGGAGTTTGAGATCCGTGCTAAGAACTGAGATTGGTCAGTAGCTTTGGCATTAGGTGGGGTCCTTGCCGTCCTTAGGTAGCAGCGTGATGTTGGCCGCCGTGAACTGTGGGGATAGCCTGGCCTCCTCCAGGATGGCGTTTAAGGCCACCAGGTAGTTTCGGTAGTCAATGTACTGCAGAGGCAGGCCATCCGGTCCCGGCGATTTGCCCGTCTGCGACGTCTTGACTGCATGCTTGATCCTCCAAGCGTCTCATGTCTGCGGAGGTCATGCATCTCTGGATCTCCTATCGTTTAGTCGTTGGGTCTCTGGGTTGGTCCGCTGCTATGTTGTATAGTGATTCATTATATTGCTGAAAGACCTGTAATATCTCATCCGGGAGGTGGCATATGTGTATCGTTGTATCCTTGATCTTGGGAATGTATAGTTGGTTCCTCGCTTGTCTTAGTAGGGTTGCTGATAGGCACCCGCATTTATTGCCATGTTCGGTAAGCAGATGATTAGGTTTGTGGTCAGCCATGCCCTCGACCCCGACCATTCTGTGGTGACGGAATCGTTGGTATGTGCTCTGAATGGTTTGGTTTAGTAATGTCGAGAGTTGGCTTCTCTTCGTGAGGAGGTCACTGTAGACTTGTTTATCCAGTCCGAGTTTGTGCTTCCATTCCAACTCGTCGATGGCTTTGGCTAGGGCGGACATCTCGCCGGTGGCCTCCAGTTTTTTTTCACTGAACATTGTGTTATAAAGTGGGCTCGGATTACTGTCTTGTGTGCCTCCCAGCAGTTCAGTGCATACGTATCAGGGGTCTCATTGGTCTCGAAGTAGTCCTTGATCGGGACTTGTGTCCGGGACCAGCAGCTGGTCTGCGAGAATGGATTAGTTCAGCCTCCGTAACCGTCGTGGCCTAAATAAGGGCGCTCGCAGTCACAGACTGAGTGGGTTGTGGTCCAACCACGTCATTGGGAGCATGTCTGAACCCTTCAATAGGGCAAGGGAGGAGTGCGGCATCCGGAAACAATCTAGTATCAAATACGAGTCATGAGTTGTGGAATAGAAGGTGTCGTCGGGTTGAGGGCCCTCCAGACACCTCAGTTGGTAGGAGTGAAGAAGTCTAAATATTTTGGCACAGTTGTGTCTGCAGCTGTGTCATGGTGGTGTCCACATCTGGGAGGAGGGTGAGGGAGTGACCACTGTGCCTTTCAGGTGCTCTGCAAGAGTGTCCAGAGTTTTTCTGAGAAATTGGTGTTGCCTGGTGTTTGGGGCGTAGATGTTCACGAATGTATACAACTGGTCGTGGATGGTATCCTGGAGCAGCAGATATCTTCCCTGGGGGTCCATTTTGCTGTCCTTGACCACCAGCGGGAACCTCCTGGAGATGAGGATTCCCACGCCTCGGATCTTCCGTTCCGGGTTATTGCTGAAGAACCCTGTTGGGAAGTGGCCCTGCCATCTTGGAAGTGCGTCTCCTGAGATCCCACAGGAGACGGGTGTGTTTCTCCTGTATGCCGCGGACATTAGAGGAGACAAGGACCAGGTCTTCTTGCGCAAAGTGTGAGTCTCCCTTTGGTGGCATTGTGATCCAGGTTCCAACCTGTAATCCATTCCAAAAATGTACAAAATTAAAAAAAACAAAACGTGTCCCTTCCCGACCCTGATTCCTATATCATTGCCCCTGATTCCTATATTATTTCTCCTGGTCAGCTATTTTGTTTTCTATGTGTGAGAGGCATGATTTAAGTTTATTATAGGCAACTGAAAGGGAATTGTGTGTCTCAACGATAAATCATCTTCCACTTTAACATCAGAGGAGAATCAGTCAAAGTCAGCCTTTAAAAAGGATTTGAGGCAGTCATGCATTTAACATATGGAGTGATCAGTCGCTGGTCTTGTAGCTGCATAGCATTTCAAGCAAACAGCGATGCTAGTGAGGCCGCATGGTGCGGAACATCTTTGGTAGTCTCAGGTGTTGGAAAAGTTATGATCTGTAAATGTACCATCAAAGCTCCTTGTGCTTAATGGCCATTTTGTAAGCCATGGTGTTGTAGGCTTAGTACCTTCTGTTTCGGGTAGGGTTTGTGCAACTTTTGATGCGGATTGCCTTTTAGAGATAGAGCTGAAGGCATGTGCATCCTAATCCATTACATTCTAGGTCATGCCTCAGAGAGCCTCATTTTTTGTCAATCTTTTTCTAAACGGTTAAGATAAAACCACGGGATGTCCTCCAGATACACTATGTAACATAACCACTACACAGAGCTATGGTTCCATTGCATAGAAAATACTTTTAATACACCAATCTCACAATAAAAACATCCAGACTAACTTAATTAAATGATTAATGTCTAATATTCTACTGAAGATCCAAAAGAAAAATTCGCCACACTCACAAATTACAAAAAAATTTTTTTTATATTTTTCAAGAAATATCTTCTGTACAAAAGTAACAAAGTATGATGAAATTTACAAAGACTGTTTTTGTTTTGAATTGGGTACATCATATTCCTAAAAGTCTTTTAGCATCTTCACTTTGTGCCATCAATGCTTCGCTAGCGTACTTCTCCAAAAGCTCCATCTTCTTCCTTCGTATAAGCGCTTCCTCTATCTATAAGTGCCAGAAAAAGAACTAATTAGAATCAGAAACACACAATATTCAATATTATCAGTGGAAAATGAAAAGTGTTGCCAGTGTAGAACATGCTCCAATATGTATCTGTACTGATAAAAAGAGTGCACCATATTAATATATCTTTCTTTTACTTAAAGTGACACTATAGTCACCAGAACAACTACAGCTTATTGAATTTGTTCTGGTGAGTAGATTCATTACCTTCAGGCTTTTTGCAGTAAAGGCTTCAGGCTTTTTGCTTTTCAGACTTACAGCCTAGTGATAACTCTACTGGCCACTCCTCAGATGACTACTAGAGGTGCTTCCTGGGGCAGTACCATTCAGTGTCTCCACCCTCTACATTGAGACACTGAACTTTCCTCAGAGATGCATTGATTCAATTCATCTCTATGAGGAGATGATATTTGGCCAGAGCTGTGTTTGACTTCTGCTGGCTCTGCACCTGATCTGCCTCCTCAGCCAATCATATGTGAAAGGATTGTGACTGGCTCACAGAATTACTTCTGATGATGTTAGCTGTAAGCAGGCAGGTCAGGGGCAGAGCGAGCAGCTGCAGACTCGAATACTAGATGTTGTTTTAATACTATAGGGTCAGGAATACATGTTTTCCCCTCAGAGGGGCTATGATAACATTATACTAATTTATTCGGGGCCAGTACAAACCATTATCTGGAAATCTATTCATAAACAGGGCTGTACATAGGACACAAGGTCACGCATTTAGGCTGGAAGAAAGGAGATTTCATCTAAGTCAAAGAAACGTGTTTTTTTTTTTACAGTATAAGGATATGGAATTCTCTGCCTGAAGAGGTGGTTTTATCAGAGTCCATACAGATGTTTAAACTGCAATTGGATACATACTTTGAAAAACATAACATACAGGAATATAATTTCTAATTAGTGGGGTAATAGCTGCTTGATCCAATGAGATATCTGACTGCCATTTTGGGGTCAAGAAGAAATTTTTTCCTAGTTTGTTGCAAAATTGTAAGTACTTCAGACTGGGTTTTTTCCCCTTCTTTTGCCTCAACATATGTGAGGAAGGCTGAACTTGATGGATGCAAGTCTCTTTTCAGCTATGTTACTATGTAACATAAAAACACATAGATATCAATACACAAAAACTCCTTGCACTACAATACCATGAGGTTATATACACAAGCAAAACACCACCTATTACATTTGCCAAAGATCTATACATTTGCAGCCACTTAGTTGCCTGACAGTATGACAGTTTGTAATTTTACAATAGGGCTCATCCTTTTCTTTCCATCATGACTTGACAAAAAAAACACATACTAGTCAAAACGTTGCTGTGTTCATAGCACAAAAAAATGTAAAAATTAAATGATATATATATATATATATATAAATAAAATAGTTTTTTTACAACTTGTATATGTCTACTAGTTTGATGGGACCAGAGTGTATGTACCTTACTACAAAGCTTGACAGTGAGTGCTTGCTAATTTAAGTAACCCCCCCCAAAAAAAACAAAAACGTTTTTTCAATGAGTAAGGAACGTTGGTGAATGCAGATTTTATGTTTGTAGAGTGTTAAGAGTGTATTCATGCTGCGGTGTTTTGCATGCACAGACAGTCTGTGTAAAGCACTTTCCCCACCTCTGCAGTAATATACCAGCTGTAGGTGCTGTGAGCCTCCAAGGATCAGAAAGCAGGTTCCTACTTCCCTCTCACTAGATGGACAATTGTGATTTGCATACATTTTTTTGTAGCAGGAACAAAAGATCCCTTAACAGGTGCATGCCATCAGCAATGGCCCCAACTCACTGTAGCAGTGTTAATTTTAGCGGCAAATTTCAATTTACTTTTATCCATAGTCTATTGACTAAAAAGCCATTTTAGTTTCTTTGTGTCCTCCCAGCCCCTCTAGGTGTCTCTCTGTCACAAGCCCTGGTCTATCTCTTTTGCTAATTTTGGCGGACAATTTTAGTTTTATTCATAGTCTATTGACTAAAAAAACGTTCTAGTTGTATTTTAGTCATCTTAATTGTTTTAGTTTAGTCGACTAAAATTTGACTAAAATTGTTAGTCAACAAAATTAACACTGTAATGTAGCATGTTCAGAACTATATGCACTCTTATCCTGCCCAAGACCAGTTTTATTACATATCTCACACTAACAATTAGTGTTGGAAGGATTAATTATTTAATTGTTTGGAATTATCAAACATTCATATTGGAAAAAGTAATCAGCTAGAAGAATATGCAAACATTTTAAACCCGAAAAAAAATCTGATGAAATGCACATTTAATGTAGAATACAGGACGGTACTGCACACAGTATATCAGGAATATAAATTGCTTGATCACATGTGTAATGTTTGTCTGAGTTACTTAAATCAGAGAATATTTCTATGTTCCTGTGTGACCAGCAAAGCAAATTACCAAGTCTGAGCACTTGCAGGAAACATTCATTTGATCAAATTTTGAGGTGCTAAATAAACATATACCAGAAATCAAAACATCTCACTGAAAACAGTCATTTTAAGGTATGTTATACATAGATAACATGTAATTCCTTCCCAGGTTTGTACCAAAATATTCATTTTATCACAATCCCTCAATCTTAGAAGAGTTTTATTATTAAACAAAAATGACATTCTTGCGGGCTTTGAAACTGACCGATTTCACTGCTATTATTGACTGTTTGCTGGAGACAGATTTAGAAACACTCATGACACATCGACAGCAAAGGAGCAGCGAAAACATGTGGTCATATAACAGTTTCTGTGTAAGACACAATACCAAACCCACCTCTCCTATATTTAAAACTACTCCCGCTCTGAGAAATATTATACAACCAATAAATGTGATTCAGTAGAATTTAACCAATGTCCGATGGTTAGAACAGGCCATGTGTAAGGGTCTCACTCACCTCTTTTTGGGATGGTACTGGTACATGAGCGATAAATTGCTGCCCCTCTTCTCCTTCCATGTCATTGTCACTGTCTTCACCCGTCTAAAATACAAGGAGTTAATAATTAAAATTTAATTTCATGTAATAAGTCTCATGACAGTATAAATCTGTCAGAGGAAAAAAAAGACTGAACTCCAGTAACAAACAAGTATTACTATGCAATAATATACAAACATGGTAAACAATACCAACAAAAACAACACACATTATATGGACAATGTGTGTGACATCAAAAATATCTGAATCTGCACATTTTAGGAAAAGGCCTATTTCCTGTACATAGCATTTATACAATATTACATTTTTACAATAGTTTAGTTAATTTATGACATTCTAAAATAAACAAAACTTTCAAGACACATTCACTAAACCAGGGAATTGTAAATTTTAGGCTAAATAGCCACACTAAAAAAAAAAAAACAAAACAAAAAAAATGCCTACAAAATTCAAAATATAAACAAAGAAAAAGTTAGACCTGTGTTGCAGATACTCCACATTGAAGTTCCAACAGTGTATATTAGCATTGAGAAAGGGCTGCTGCTCGAAACGTTTGCGGTTTTAACTTTGTCCTCAAATAAATTGTGGTGGCACCTGGGCACACCTATACTGGATGCGCAAAACAAATTGTTGAGTTGTAAAATTTACCCAGTTCTGCCCTTTTGGCCTGAGATGGGACACCCAGTCAAATTCTTTATTAAGAGAACACTTCAAGCACCATGCCATCATTTGTAGTTTTGTCGTGAGTGACTAGCATTCTAAGCATGCTGACAACTGAAAACTGTGCAGAATGCTGGCATTAGCAACTCAGTCCTCTCAGTTTAAGTGACTACAGTCACCTAAATTACTTTAGCTAAATAAAGCAGTTTTAGTGTATAGATCATTCCCCTGCAATTTCACTGCTCAATTCACTGTCATTTAGGAGATAAATCACTTTGTTTCTGTTTATGCAGCCCTAGCCACACCTCCCCTGGCTATGATTGACAGAGCCTGCATGAAAAAAAAAACTGGTTTCACTTTCAAACATGTAATTTACCTTAAATAATTGTATCTCAATCTCTAAATTGAACTTTAATCACATACAGGAGGCTCTTGCAGGGTCTAGCAAGCTATTAACATAGCAGGGGATAAGAAAATCTTAATTAAACAGAACTTGCAATAAAGAAAGCCTAAATAGGGCTCTCTTTACAGGAAGTGTTTATGGAAGGCTGTGCAAGTCACATGCAGGGAGGTGTGACTAGGGTTCATAAACAAAGGGATTTAACTCCTAAATGGCAGAGGATTGAGCAGTGAGGCTGCAGGGGCATGTTCTATACACCAAAACTGCTTCATTAAGCTAAAGTTGTTCAGGTGACTATAGGGTCCCTTTAAACCCTTAAGGACCAAACTTCTGGAATAAAAGGGAATCATGTGTCCTTAAGGGGTTAATGATGCTACAGGAGGTGGAGTTATACCTCTGGTAGTCAAGTTCTGTTTCTCAGTGAAACATTGCACATACAGAATCAAAGCACCATGTGCACTTCAAAACACTCAAGCATTACTGCTTAGAGTGTGCATGCCAAATATGAAATAATGAAATAAAATTATATATTTACCACTTCAGACAATAAGCAAAAATACAAATGTGAACATATGATTTTGTCTTTCTGGGACTTTAAAAATTAAATTAATTTCTAATAAATGAACAATTAGTTAACAATGAACAGATAACCATGTTGGCATAATGAGTAACTCTATAATAAAGCACTGGTTATGCAAAAATATATACAGATGATTGCACAATATCATTAAAAACAAAACAAAAAAAAAACCAACACTTTTGTGGACAAATGCAACATTACTTTATCGTCATTCTTGGTCACGTACTCTTGCGGACACCCTGACTATATTCAATAACGAGGGCCTTTGCCCTCTGACCAAACATGCTTTGTTAAAGATTCTATAAACCAACCAAATCACACACAATTCACAGTTTGAGGATTAAGCACATGGTACTAGACACCAGTATGAACAGGTCAGACATTTGTGAATAAATCAATTTTAACACTAACAATTGTGCTTGCCAGTTAAGATCCTAAGACATAACTGAGAATTCTGCTTACACTTTCTAAAAATGAGACATTTCTTAAAATTTTAAAAACTTGCATGTTACAATAACACAGAACATTTGCTTGAGAATTTAAAGAGGATCATTTTACAAAGAGACTGGGGGGAAATCAGTATTGCTTAATGCTCAAAATAAGCATACAAACTTTCAATTCTATATGGGCAGGAATCTGCATTGAGATGATCAAAGTGATCATTTCCAAGCTGATCCCATATGGAAATCTTTATTAAGGAGTAGTCAATTTAAGGTGAAATCTACCCAACCAAAACGAGTCCTAAGCCAAAATCTGCATTATCTGATTAAGTAACAAGAAAGCTTTTGTAACAGGATACTGATTTATCTATCCTAAGCTTAGCTCATGATCAACAAAAATAATTACCAACCGTGCTGCAATAATTCCATGTTTATTCAATTTATAGTTTTAATTACTCTAGTCATCAGGAACAGCCTGCTTGTCATTTGCTTCTTGTTCCAGTAATTTCCTTCAGAACAGACTTTGAATTCTACTTGACATTCAAATGCAGGCTATGCTGAATTATTAAATACAGAATAAGTTAGAGTCAAGTGTTCCCAACTCACTGCATCTAGGTTAAATAAACCTTACTTTCAATAACAGCATAAAGCATTAAACATAACCAACTGGTAAATTATACGATAAAGTATTACATACACTACATAGCAAAGTGTGTCACTTTGACCCTGACGACGGTGTGGGGAAGGCTAAAATGGGTGTCGGGCGTTTTCATTTATTGTTTCTACACTATGGGAAGCGCTTTTTTTGTACCTTAGATTCTGCTTTAGACCTGTCTGAGGGACATTTGGTGCATGTAAGCACTAGTGTCTTGCATTGCCAAGGTAACCAAGGACAGTACTTGTTTGACTCTTCCTTTTAGTGCTAGTTTTTGTCTCATATTTTCCCTCTTTGGGCTAAAGGATTTCCCCATCTCTTGCATTATGGGCTTTATTGGGGTGAGGTGCTATTAGGCCTATGTCGAGGAGATTTTGTATTAAAGGATCACTATAGGGTCAGGAACACAAACATGTATTCCTGACCCTATAGTGTTAAAACCACCATCTAGCCCCCCTGGGCCCCTCATGCCTCCATGAATATAGCAACATCTTACTGTATTCATGCAAGAAGCTGTAGATCTGCATGCTGTTTGCCTCAAAAAAAAAAAAACAAGCAGTCTGCTGACATCATCAGAAGTGGTGGCCTGACCCAATCACAATGCTTCCCCCTAGGATTGGCTGAGACTGACAAAGAGGCAGATCAGGGACAGAGCCAGCATGATTCAAACACAGCCCTGGCCAATCAGCATCTCCTCAGAGAGATGAATTGAATCAATGAATCTCTATGAGGAAAGTTCAGTGTCTGCATGCAGAGGGAGGAGATACTGAATGTTTGGATGCATTTTAGGCAGCCATGATCCAGGAAGGATCTCTAACAGCTATCTGAGGAGTGGCCAGTGAAGTTATCCCTAGGCTGTAATGTAAACACTGCATTTTCTCTGAAAAGACAGTGTTTACAGCAAAAAGCATAAAGGGTATCATTCTACTCACCAGAACAATTTCAATAAGCTGTAGTTGTTCTAGTGACTATAGTGTCCCTTTAATCCTTATACCTTTTCTGAGACTGTATTTGAGGGGGTGTAGACTTTGGGATTGTTGGTAGCTCCCTCTTTTCTCTGTTTTTATGTTTGCCTCTCCCCCATTCGGTCCCACAAATACCTGCTCCACTTTGGTTTCTATACCTTGAGATAGTTCGAGAAGGGATCCATTCTCCTTCTTCCTTGAAAAGGACTTAGTCACTATCTTTATTGAAGTGTAGAGACAGGGTGGAGATTACCACTATTATGCCCTCTCCTCACTTCTCTTTTCCATCAGACGAGTCTTTATAATCACTGTGTAATTAGCTTATTATTAATTTTTTATTTTATCTTAGTTCCTTATAAATATTAGGGTCTCTTAATTTATTCTTTACATTTCACTGTGTTTTCACTCGTTTGTTTTCCCTATGTTTTAGTGGGATTGTTGGGATTTCTTTTTTGTGAGTGAATAAAATCACATATTAACTGTTGCACCACTCAAGATAGAACATTTAGCCCTGCAGTGTCAAGTAGCTTATCAGGCCTGGGTCGTGCTGTATTAATGCCTATGGGTTTGGAATGGGATGTCCAAACAGCTTATAAAGGTGTGATAATTTTGGCAATATGATGTAGTTACTTGTAAGAGCATAAGAGATTAAAAAGGACACTTCAAGCATCATAACCACAACAGGTTTAGTGTAGTGTTCATAATACTAGGAATGCTCTCTGTTTGTAATCCCAGATGCCACCCTTTCCCTATTTTTACAGCATACCTGATTACTCTTTGTAAAGGCTTCTTAACTTGCAGAAACTGTGCTGTTCGCATTCACGTACAAACACAGCTCTCTGAAACAAGTAGGAAATTGTGCTGTGCGCATGAATGCTCAAGTGAAGAAGACTGACTAATGTAATATAAAAAGATTATATGGTGCCATGCATAACCACTCGGTGCTTAATCCAAAGAGGGCAAGCCCTCGTACCTCATCAGTCACTGCATAGATGTTGACTTCCTCGTCGTCCTCATTCTTGTCTTCTGTTGCCAGGTAGGCTTCTTTCTCCATTTTCCATTTTTGAACAGCTGCAGCAATAGCTAAAGAAGAAAGTGTCCGGACTGGTCAATTTACAAGATACAATAGGTATATCACAAGTGTAGAAATTATTTATAAAATATTTTACCAGGAAAGATACATTGAGATTTCTCTTGTTTTCAAGTATGTCCTGGGTCCACAAATCATGCCCTAAACACTCTTCCTTTGAATATTTTAGATTAAATCTAACCAATGAAGTTGTATGGTTAAATTATGTGATTGCAGGAGGTAGGATGCCAATGGACCTTGTCACTACCTCGTACTGTACTTTTAATAAAGTTTGTCCATGATGGTTTTTTACCAACATTAAAAACAGCATAGTAGTTTTTTTTTCCTTTTAATTTTATTTATTCTATGCATTTAATATTGTTAACAAAAAACAGCAAGGAGAAAGAAAGGTTTTTAGAGACTTTCCTTTATCCAGTGCTGACTTTTACATCCCCCATCATACTTCGGAATACAATTTCTATTCTGTGTATTTATTTCAATTTACACAGATTACAGTATGGACAACAAGCCAGCAGGCTGAGAGAACTTTCATTTTTTCATTGGTGTCCAAAGCTAAATAGGCAAATGTGGATGTTCCTCTTTACATTGGTCAAGCAGCAGGCAAGGCTGGCAAAGTGTAGGAGCCGGGAGAACCCTTTTTTGACAAACCGTTCAAAAATGGTTTGATGCAAACTGGGCCCACTAACTCTCTGCACCAGTATCACTACAATGAGCTGTAGTAGTTATGGTACGAACAGTGTCCCTATTTGGAAGGCAAGTGGTTTCTCTCTTATACACATAAATTACATTTTGGTTTGACCATTCAGATAGCCACCTAACCATTTTCTATCTCCAGTAACTGCTTCTATCAGCAATTTTATTTTGTAAAGTGCTAATTAAAGCTTAACAGTTATGGATTTGTGTCCTTTCATAGCTTGGGTATTAGGTCCCACAGATAAATAACCTTTATAGGCAGTCAGGTGTTAGAGAGAGCAAAAACCTATATCAGGTTGACAAATGTCTTTTTTTTCTGTATGGTGACAGTCAATATAGCCCCACCTCTTCGGTTTGGGAACTTGGTATTCCAGGAGTAGAAGCAGAGAGGTGGCAGAGTAAAGCTTCTCTGTGTGTTCTCCCTCACCAGCTAGGTTTATTATCATGTCTATGAGAGTACTTTATCTCTGGCAAAATCATTTTATTCTGTACAGTAGTGAATACAAGACTGCTCATTTATATATACAGGACAACTGTTAGTGATGGTCATATTGTCCATGCTTAACTGGGTGCTATTCACGTACTGATATTTCTCAATGGTGAGAGACACCTACTTTGTGAATAAAATATGAAAATAGCCATTTTTTTCTAAATTAAAATAATGGCTAGTAAAATCTATTCTGGTCTGTTCCTAAGATATTTTAGCAGCGGAACAGAGAATACATATTTTTGAATGCACTACTCCATCTCAGTTTTCATAGAGTGTAACAACTAAGCATTTTATTCATGTGGAGGGACACTAAGCACCAAAACCACTGCAGCCTACTGTAGTGATTATGGTGCCAGTATGCTGCTGGTGTGGTCTCCCGGTGTCAAACTATGTGAGCAATCTGAAATTGAGTGTCCCTGGCACCCTTGGCCCAGCCCATCCTTTGGCATATTGCTATTGAGGAAGTTCTACTCATACATATTTGTGACTTGTGTTGAATCAACAACTAAGTTACAATATTAAGTCTCAAAACGTCTAGTGAAACTTGTTTTTCCAAAATCAAACTTTAAGCCTATTTATTTCATGAATGAAAGCCTAAATATGACAATTTTAGCAAATGTTCAATGCAAACATAACAGAAACGGCGCAGAATGGCAAGCTTCAGCTATTTTCATTGTCGTAATGGTTTTACAGGTATTAAGCTATTTGTAAGATTTTTACATAATCTATCTTTTCTATGAATCCACGCTATGGCTTATTGCCACTGCGTGTTTGTGAGGACCTGCCAATATGATACTTGTGGATCTTATAATGGTTTATGGCACAAAAAACACAATCTTCACAAGAGAACTAAAAACCTATAATGTTAAAAGGTTTTAAACAAAGATTTAATATGTAACGTATGCATACAGCGAAGAAGATAATACTGCAACGAAAATACCTTTTTTCTCTTCATCCAGTTCCAAAGGCACCAATACACCGTCATCCTCATCCCTGTAGCCATAATATTCGGCATCAATATTCTTCATCAGTTCAGTGCGTGTTTTCCGTGGAGGAGGAACCGCTAAATAAGACAAATTCACAAAATTATGGTTGGTTTGGACTAGGACAAGAAGTTCGACCTAGGCATTTAAAGGCAGAGCAACACAACAGGTGGTGTGTGGCCAAACACCCCCCCCCCCCCAAAGTGGGCACATTAGTTCGGTCCCCCCCAGGGCAGCCAATGTACTGAGTACTGCTTGAGTTGCTCTTACACAGGTAAAATGACCTGGTTTTAAATAGTACAGAGCACGTTTATATAATAATATGCTTGTGCTGTATTTCCTGGTAACGTGTCTCTGGTGGGACATGGAATGACAAAAGGACAGAACTCTTGTTGCTGTGTTGGAGGGTTTTTGTGGTGGTTCATACGTGTGTGATTATTTATGTGTAGGGGGTAATTTATGGTATACCGTGAGTGGAGGAATCTGTTTGTAGTGAATGCTCGATTGCTGGGAGCGGTTTGCAGCTAGATAGAGGCTTTTTTTTTATAGCATTAAAAAAAAAAAAAGTGTATTCCCTTTCAGTTAGAAAGGAGAAGCAGAACTATCATGCTATGCCCCAGTGAGCGGGTAATGACTCTGCACCCCGGTATTAGGCTTGGCCAGTAAAGCTTATATTTGATCTCACCCCCTCCCCCCATGGAGAATGACCTCTTTGCATCATCTGTAGTGGTGATCCTTTGTCTCTGGTAAAATATTTCCCCCAGAAAAGGCTGCACTAGTTTACTGGGGTGAAGGAACAAAGAACTCTAACTACTCAGGAAGGCACAATTCTTTGTTAAGTATTAATATGTTTCAGTCTCTTGTAATATTTATCAATTTGTAGTTACATGTGATCAAGAATATCAAAAATGTAAGATAACTAGATAAATCAATATTCAGATGAACATGAAACAACGGGTAATTCAAATAATTCAGTTAGCCATGAGACTCGAATTATACATTTCCTGTTCTATTCATTATACACAATTTGCTTACAGACTTTTTATTCTGCTCAATTTCCATGCCCTTAATGGGGGTCAGAATTCTTCCGAACTTATAACGCAGGCTGACATAAAAGCGGAATTTAAATATTATACCATAGACTATTTTTCCTACTTCTTTCATATATTACGAAAATGTTAATTACAGCATCCCCAAATAAGCATGGCAACAGCCTGATACCATTACAAACTGACCCGAACCAGCTCCATATCATAAAGGTGAGTGAATGACCCAGCTATTTATTTTGAGCACTGGGTAAAAAGCTCACAGACCAGAGCTGCTGTACATGGCATGGATTACAGCACAATGAATCGAGTGATTAAAAAAAAAATAAACAAACATCTCCAAGCACAAAACTACAGAGCAAGCACCGAGGCTGCTGCATTTATAACATTAACACAACTCCTTGCGCCTCACCCATGCCCCAAGATACCAAGGCTGAGGGTGCATGCTCTCTACTATGCAAGTAGCACCAGACGTGGACAGGGAAGTGGAACAGGGAGACAAGGGGTCTTGGATGAGAAGAGGAAGAAGCCATGGGAGAGGTGTTATGGATAAGAAAAGGTAGAAGCACGGAGAGATGGGACATGGATGATAAGAGTAAGGAAAATGGGGAGGAGATAAAAAAGGTGCATACACTCCTGATTTAGCAAACACTGCTGCAGTCACACAGTTACTCCACACTAATACACCCCTGCATTTAAACTTGAATTTATATAACTGCTTGAATTATTAAACTCAAAGAAGCACTCACACTACAATTACAGCTCTGCATTCAGACACACACTAACATGCTACTATGTGAGTATGCCATATGTTAAAATAAATACTGTACTGCTGAGGGATTCTGGAAACAAGCTATGACAAGGCTGAGGGAATTTCAAAATTATGTATGTTTTAGATTTTTTTTTTTTTTTAAATAAGTGTTAGAGTTTATTTAATCTAAGGCCAGTGCCGGACATACATATGTCAAAATCAAAATCTAAAATCTGCCCCGTTCCAATTACTGAGCTGAGGATAGAATCGCCCTGTCTCTGTCTTCCCAGTCGCTATCACACCATATCATTAACAGAAGATTCTGCTAATAATAAAAGTCATGAGTTTTTGTTCTTTGGTAACTTTTCCAATTCACTTACGTTCTTTTTCAAACAGCTCTCGCACACCAGGCAAATCTTTAGCTGCACCAAAGTATTTATAGCCCCGATTCCCAGGCACTTCCTTTCCTTCATGATCAAGCATCTTGGGTCCAATACGCTTTTATAGGAGAAAGAAAAATTAATTCATTATAAACAGCTACTTGATAAGCTACCGAAAGGCAATTTGGCACCAGGAACATTACTCAATGCTAGTAACCAATCACAACTATTAACTGGGAGGAAAAAAACAAAACAAAAAAACTTCCATAGTACTACGGACTATGTAGTGGTTTAACCCCTTAAGCAAAAATCCCACTTACATTGATCTCCCTGTGTATGTTATACTATGATTATTTTTAGTATATTCTCCTAAACCGAACGTCTCTATACATTGATATTAATATGTTGTATCATTTTTAGAGTTCGTAATTGCATAGATGATAATTGTATGTACACCTGAATTGATAGATAATTTTACATTGTATATATCTTGAAAAAGTACAGGCGAAACGCGTTGATGAGCTGAGGATTTAGCTTACATTCATCTTCATCTCTCCGGTACCATCAGTAACTTTTAGCGGTTTGAAGCAAAGGCGTCCCTCCGGTTTCACCATCATTATTGCGGCTTGAAGAAAGGACTTCGTATTGTTTCAGCTGCTTCAACGGAAGGGTAACACTTTTTCACCCATCCACTGCATGTACTGGACTTATTAGTGGTTACCATTATACTTTATACCACTTCTTTCATTTTGGATAAGGATTTTTTTTTTCTTTTATTTCTGTTAAATAAACTGTGCTTGATTTTATCCCGCTAGAAGTATTTTTTTGCAAAAACATTAATCGGATACTGAGCTGTGGATTTTCAACACTATTTCATGTCTGATCACAATACCAGAAACACGGTCATCTAATCTGACGAATGCACATCCACCACTGTGGAGGTGGATAAAGACTTTTCGGAAAATCAATATACTGTCACGTTTAGTCCCCCACTTTTTTTTTTTATAAAAATGAAGGGGAAAACTTTTAAAGCGCTGACACTTTCTACATAGTTTGTTTTTAAAGGTCCTTAGGAATCACCTTTCATGAGTTTAGCAGCTTTCACTCCATTACCAAATACCTGTATTTTATTATTTTAGATTTTATTTGCGCTTTTTTGATTTTACTGTATATTTGTATGTTTATTGCCCCTAATTTGTCTTATGTTTTAAAGAAAATGAGAGCAGAAATAAAGAAAAAATAAAAAAGAACAGATTCAGAGAGGAAGAAAAGAGGAAACGATAGGAGATATACAAGTTCCATGTTACAGTGTCTCTTTAAGGCTTGTGATATGCAAGGGCATTACATATACAATTTCTGCGTGAATTTTAGTTTGTATTCAAAGTATGATTTTAAAGATCCAGAAGCATCAAAGGTATCACAAACACCAATTTTACAGTCCAGTGGTGCGTGCTCTAATCAGTGTTGTGGCAAGAAATGCAAATGTGCAGATTAAACTCAATTGATGCCAATCAAATGAAAATCAATCCCAGACTACACGCATGAATCAAAAAGGGATATAAAATGAACCACCTTGAGTTATCTTACCCCATAGTCTGGGCCACCCAGTTCTTTGATGCGGACCTCCCAGTGACCCTTTTCTCTGATTAGTTTGTTAATTTCATCATTTAAGTCTCGTATTCTGAATTCACCAAGACCAGCTACAAAAAACAAAAAACAAACAAAAAACACAATCACAATTCATAGGCTTCAGTATACCACAGTTGCAAACACAAATAGGCTACTGTATACCACATTTGTGAACACAGAGACTCTGCTGTAATTTATAACCAGAGTGTATACAGTCAATGATTTTTAAATTAGATTTATTTTAATAAAATGCTTTTGGAGGAAAAACCCATCTAAAGATAGTTTTTTATTTTAGATACATTATCGTCTAAAGGTTATTTAGTATGGAATAGGAATTAGTTATGTAGCATGTGGCTGCACATTCATACTATATTTTAATTCCTTATTTTTGTACTGCATAGATAGACATACAAACTTTTACTGACATATCAAGAGTAAATGTGACTCATTGCATATATCAGACAGGACATGCCAAGAGACCTGCACTTTTTGTAATTTTTTTTTTTTTTTGAGAGTTTAACATCACAAGTGTTTTGCAGTGCAGTGGTACAGACAGAGTGGCAATGACATAGGACGTAAAAACAGAACGAGAGAAAAACCAGGTGTATAGCTAAAGCTTAAAGTCATGCTAAACTGCACAATTTTGAAGTAAGAATTAGAAGATTCATGCTGGGCATACATGTCTAGGTAAAAATAAACTCAAGATATGCACTCTCATGAAAAAATAAAAAGGGTGTAAGACATGTAGCTGATTAGTCTGGCTTGTCAGCCAGCGTGAATTGATGGTTTTATAAAAGACAATTGTATTATCTAGCTTGAAAAACCATAGGTAAATGTAGGCATATTAGACTAACCATTAACACAACTGAGTGTATATAAACCACTTGGGGGTCCTGCATCTCAAGAAGTTGGCATAAAAGTAATTTGACTGGGAATCAGTGGCATTATGTACAGACAGGCACAAAGAAAAAAAAACATTGTAATAAACAGGAGCATATAGAGAACCTGTCCGACAGGCAGCAACATGGCCTATCCCCTCACTAAGCAATGGCACCATAGATGTTATGTTCACAGGAGCCCAATGAGAACCCCGGAACCACATCATGGCCTTCACAGGAACCTGCACTCCAGCTCCACTGTCCCAGACATTAACAAAGTCCGGAGCCTTTTTCCAGGGAAGGCGCGGATTTGGATGTTGCCGACGCCTCTGCCCCAATACCCTCCGTTGGTGTGGGCATCATGGGGGGCATCAACCCCCCTTGGTTCCCAGCCCAGGAAGGTACTTCTGCCGCCCAGTGACTGGAGTAAAACTCAATTCTGCCAGCCTGGGATGTTGTTGATGGTAGAGAGGTATGTGTGCATTCGCACGCTGATGCAATATCTCCAAAAATCGCTCGAACAGCCAGTCTTATTTAGTCAGCGGCTAGTTGCTGGGTTGAGTCAGCTACATGTTGTCGCACCATCATCTTGTAAAGCAGGCCTAAGTGCCTCTGTGTACAGATATTTTACAGTGCAGATGACGGGGAGTGCGGCAGCTTCCCCAGTGGGGACCGGGATAACCACCACCAAAGGGGGAGGTAACGGGGCCAGCAAGATGTAGCGTTGTAGAGCCTGGTGTATACTCAGGGGAGGGGGAGGGGGAGGGAGGAGAGGAGAGGGAGAGGGAGAGAGGAGAGGGAGAGGGAGAGGAGAGGGAGGGAGAGGGAGAGGGAGAGGGAGAGGGAGAGGGAGAGGGAGAGGGAGAGGGAGAGGGAGAGGGAGGGAGAGGAGAGGGAGAGGGAGAGGGAGAGGGAGAGGGAGAGGGAGAGGGAGAGGGAGAGAAAAAAATAATAAAAAAATAAAAAGCTACTAGTACCTGGGGGTACCACAAACTAATGAGGAAGAGGCAAAGAGGATAGCAACATTCAAAGAGTCAGACAGGTCCTGAGGTCCCAGCTCAATGGCAAGAACAGGATCCAAGCCATCAACACATATGCCCTACTGGTCATCAGGTGCCCATCTGAAATAATAACCTGGCCAAGAGAAGAACTGGTCACCATGGATGTCAAGACCAGGAAACTACTCACTATGAATGGAGGATTCCACCCGACACCTGATGAGTGTCAAGGCCACATTACTGGATGAAACACAGAACAGCCACAAGCACATCACAAAGATGGCTCCCAAAAATTAACTGCTTAGGGAATGCCAGAGACTTGGCAAGACAAACCTCTCCATGGGGTGCACCACCGGCAGATAGTGGATGTGGCTAATCCTAGCAGCACAGGAGCAGGCACTCAGCACCAGATCAATAGAAGCTGGGGTCTACCACACCAGGCAAGACCCAGGGTGCAGACTGTGCAAAGAGGCCGGCACCTAGTAGCCAGATGAAGGATGTTAGCAGGAACAGCATACACGGAGAGACACAACCAAGTTGCTGGGATTGTGTACCGAAACATCTGCACAGAATATGGATTGGACTTGCCTATGTCCAGATGGGAGATACCACAAAGGGTAGTTGAGAATGACAGGGCCTTAGCCTGTGGGACTTCAAGATCCAGACAGGTGGTAGACAAGGAACAAAAGACTGCAGTCATGGTGGATGTGGCAATACCCAGTGACTATAACATCAGGAAGAAGGAACATGAGAAGGTGAACAAATACCAAGGACTGAAAGAAGAACTAGAAAGGATGTGGAAAGTGAAAGCAGTATTAGTCCCAGTTGTGATAGGAGCACTCAAGGCTGTGACTCCCAAGTTGGGGGAGTGGCTTCAATAGATTCCAGGTGGGACATCTGAGATCAATGTCCAGAAGAGTGCAGTTCTAGGAACAGATAAGATACTGCGAAGAACCCTCAAACTTCCAGGCCTCTGGTAGAGGATCCAAGAATGAGGAATAAACATACCACCCAGGAAGGGTGAGAAAATCAATGTTTTATATATTACTGCAATTTACTGCATATATGCAGAAATGCAACAACCACTGTTTATGGAAATTACATATCTTAATCCGATCAATTATTTCTAAAATAATTCATACCGTTTTGGATCTGTGCGACTTTCTTTGAAATTTCACCAATAATCTGTTTGATGTAAATGATAAAAACACAAGAATTACTGAAAATATTTTATAACAATAACAAGCACGGTGACATTATTTACATAAATTAAATGGACTCAACAGTTGCAAAAGCCTTACAAAAGTTTTCTTATGCTTTTTCAGATCTAGCTATGCCGTCCTACTAAAGGAGGGCTGTAACGCCATTAGGGCGGCATAGCACGCTCTCTGATGATCAGGCCCTCCATGCAGTAAAAATACTTCACTACACTCTCTTACTATGTTGAAACCTGTATGAATTGACCACATTCCTCCAATACCATGGGGTGGTAACCCCAAGAAGGAACTCCTGAGGCGGAACGCATTTTGGATTTTTACACTTGATACAATCTTCCCGAGAGGCTTTCAAAACCCTCTCCATCGCTATTTGGATAATAGATCATGATGCAAACCCAGTAAAATACTGAGATTATAACTAGTTGTTCCCCAATCAATCCTTTCACTGGTAATGGATCCATCAACTTGGTACTGCAATCCTACATTTCTCCATGGCTCACTTCAAAATTGGATTGGTTCCAGAAGCTCATTGCTAGTTATTCCTAAAGCATCTTTATTTTCTTTTCATTTAAAAGGACACTATAGTCAAGGGGGAAAAAACCTCAGGGTCCCACTCCCGCCGGGCTGGAGCGAGAGGAAGGGGTTAAACCCTTACCTCTTTTCCAGCGCCGGGACCCTCCTCCCTCTTCTTCCATCATCGACTGAATGCGCATGCGTGGCATTAAGCTGAAGTGGTCTGGGTGCCTATAGTGGTCCTTTAATGAAGCAGTTATTGTATATAGATCGGAAGTCTCACTGCTCAATTCTCTGCCATGTAGGAGTTAAATCACTTTGTTTATACAGCACTAGGCACACTTCCCTGCATGTAACTTGCACAGCTTTCTTAAACACTTCCTTTAAAGAGTCGTCTGATGTTTACACCTTCTTTATTGCAAATTCTGTATAATTTAGAATGGCTTATCTTAAGCTTTTTAGACCCTTCAGGAGCCTCCTGTGCGTGTGATTAAAGTTCAATCTACAGAATAGGAGATAAAAAAAAACCTTTAACGTAAGTTACATCTAAGTGAGATGGAAACCATTTTTTCATGCAGACTGTGTCAGTCACAGCCGAGTAGGTGTGGCTAGGGCTGCATAAACAGAAACAAAAGTGTTTTAATTCCTAAAGGGCAGAGAATTGAGCAGTGAGACTGCAGAGGCATGATCTATACACAAAAACTATACACGTTCTAGTCGCCATGGCGACCTGGTGCCTGGGATTTGTAGAGCCCAGACATGCGTTATTTTATTTGAGGAGATGGATTTAAACGATTGCTCCAAGAATATGTCCATAAGTTACCAATGACATGAAGTTATGAGGCAGACTTCTAGGAAATACAACTAACAGGACAGAGGTGCACATTTAACTTAATTCACATGGTCAGTACTTTGGCTTACAGTTGTGCACAAAAGTTTGCATACCCTGGCAGAAATTGTGAATTTTTGGCTTTGATTTTGAAAATATGACTGATCATGCAAAAGCATTTATTTTATTGAAGGATAGTGATCATGTGAATCCATTTATCACATAGTTGTTTGGCTCCTTCTTAACTCATGAGAACAGAAATCACCCAAATGGCCCTGATCAAAAGTTTACATACCCTTGAATGTTTGGCCTTTTTACAGACACACAAGGTGACACACAAGTCAAAATGACAATTAGAGGTTAATTTCCCACACCTGTGGCTTTTTAAATTGCAATTAGTGTCTGTGTATAAATAGTCAATGAGTGTTTGCTCTTGCATGGATGCACAGAGCAGGCTAGATAATAAGCCATGGGGAGCAGAAAAGAACTGTCAAATGACCTGCGTAACAAGGTAATGGAACTTTATAAAGATGGAAAAGGATATAAAAAGATATCTAAAGCCTTAAAAATGCCAGTTAGTACTGTTCAATCACTTATTAAGAAGTGAAAAATTCTGGAATCTATTAATACCAAAGACAAGGTCAGGTAGACCAATAAATATTTCAGCCACAACTGCCAGAAGAATTGTTTGGGATACATAGAAAAACCCACAGTTAACCTCAGGAGAAATACAGGCTGCTCTGGAAAAAGACAATGTGGTTGTAGAAAGATACCTGAATGAGCTGCATGGTCGAGTTGACAGAAAGAAGCCTTTACTAGTTGTAAAAGATAAAGGTTCTGGAGTGGCCATCACAGTCTCCTGAACTTAATTTTGCCAAGACGAATGGGCAACTATACCACCTGCAAGAAGTAGGGGCCTCATTATCAACTATTACAAAAGGGGGCAATACACAGTATTAAGAGCAAAGGGTATGAAGACATTTTAACAGGGGTCATTTATTTTTTTTCTTTGTTGCCATGTTTTGTTTAAGGATTGTGTCATTCTGTTATAACCTACAGTTGAATATAAATCCCATAAGAAATAAAAGAAATGTGTTTTGCCTGTTCACTCATGTTTTCTTTAAAAATGGTACATATTTTTACCAATTCTCCAATGGTATGCAAACTTTTGAACATCACTGTATGCCACACCTGGGGCCATGTTATCAAGACAAGGTGGCATATCACACCTAGAGCTGTGAGATTAAAAGTACAGAAACGTGTTCCATATAAGGCCCCCTGTGGTCAGCAAGGCAAAGTTCCATATTACATATGTGCCCTGTGAAATGTGCATTAATTCATATTGCAGTACACATTAAAAAAAATAAAAAAGGTCACACTTGTCTTCTCCATTTCTCAGCTTTAGGCAGCTCACTGCACTCTGACGCAAGGAATGGCCTTCTTTCCTAAATTGAAAACATGAATTAGAATTAAGGAGTAGCACTTATAATGAAGGCCCTGCCTGTTTCCGATCAAGGTTTTATAATGTAGACATGAACAAATCTATATCAAGATTACACATTTATTGCATCTAGTTATTAATATTAGCATATAAGGCATGAAAACATTTTTTATTTAAGGCATGAAAAACTTTTTTTAAATCTTTTTTAAACAACCATGTTAAGACTCTACTGCTTTCTGACCAACTGCTGCTCATCCTAAGTTGCGTGCAGTTGTGATTGCTTCTGTGTGAAACTACAGCAGAAAAGTTAGGTTGATCAGGAGCTGGTCAGATAACAGTAGAATCTGACCAAACATGGCTACTCAGCCAAAAAAAGTAAAAAAAAAATGTTTTTAAAATCTGTATACATGCATTTGATTGAACCACAGATGACATAGATAGATGGGGAGTGGAACCAAAGCAATGCTGGCTCCTCGACCAGCAATCCTCATACTCTGCTGGATTCAAGGTAAGTTTTTAATTCTATTTAATAGGGTTTTATTTTTGTTTTTTTTAATTAAATACGGGAGTTGGTTAAGATTAATAGCGCTCAACAGGACATAATAATGCTAAACAAACATTGAAGAAGAAAAAAAAAATTATTATTGCGACCCCTGTACCTCCTCGTCAGGGGACCAATTCAATAAACAAATTGTTGTTAAATATAATCCTGACATGTTGGTGTTTGATAAGTTCCTTCTAATATCTTAAACACTGTAGGATACAAATTATATTAAAAAAAATGTAATGCATCACATAGATAATTTTTAAAAAGTATGTGCAATAAAATAAGATATAAAATCTTACGTGCACAAATCTCCTAGCCCTTCTGTGACCTGGCTAATCAGAAGCCTCTCAGCTGGCTCTATGTTTAAAGGAACCATAAAGCATTAGGAATACAAACAATGCTATAGTGTTTCCCTACCTATAAATGGGCCCCCTTCATCTTTGATGTTTTAAAAAATGAGTTTTACTGACATTTACTCACTTGCTGTGCTGGTCTTGTGCAGTCGCTACGCCTCCTTCGCTGAGATCATCAAGATTGAAGATCTTAGCTAATCCAATGTGTCCTCATTTGGAAACATTAGGATGCAAGTGCACATGTGTGGCCAAATGCTGTGCTGCGCCAATCAAATGGTCTTCGTGAGATTAACTTGGATATGGAAGAGTCTCTAAAAGCTGTTAAGAGGACACTAGAGGTGCGTTTAACCCTTGCATGTAAAGATTGTGTCTTCTACAAAACTGCAATATTTACATGGGATGGTTAAAATTACAGGACCACTGCACCCAGACCACTTCATTGGGATGAAGTGGTCTGGGTGACATGAGTGGTCCCTTAACCTAACACTGCAGGGGTCAATCAAAACTAGCTGTTTAACAATATTCACAGAGGTTCGGAATTTAAAGACAAATAAGAATTGGGTGCACACAAAAAAAATACATTTAGCAGGCATGGTGCTGCCGTTGTGACCAAAATTCAAACATAATTACGTCTCCCACGTTTTAATTAGTGTAGGACCCATCAATATTAGGGCACTGTGAAGCAGTGGTGGGCTTAACACACTATGGCCATATGGTGGAACTGAATCCCTATATTTGTTTGCTGAGATAGGTGACTAAGTAGCCTTATAAAATTTTTTAAAAATTACCGTATTTTTCCGCTCTATAAGACACACTTTTTTCCCCCCCTCAAAAGTAAGGTGAAATGTCTGTGGGTCTTATAGAGCGAATGTGAAGGTTTACTTACCTGTATTGTAGTGTGGGCCGGTAGAACAGCGTACACCGTGGTACAGGAACTTAAATTTCAGTTTCCGGCTGGAATGAAAGGAAGTGCGCACTCAGTGTGCACACTTCCTTTCAGTCCGGACGGAAAGCGGAAACTGAGATTTAAGTTCCTGTACCGCTGTGCGCGCTGTTCTGCCGGCCCACGCTACACTACAGGTAAGTAACTAAGGGACAAGAGGAGGGGGAGGACACTATGGAGGGAAAGATCACTATGTGACGGGGGGTGAGGGGGTTGAACACTATTGGACGAGGAGAGGGGGGATAAAGAACACTATGGGACAGGGGAGGGGTGGTTAAAGATCACTATGGGACAGGGGAGGGGTGGTTAAAGATCACTATGGGACAGGGGAGGGGTTAAAGATCACTATGGACAGGGGGGGTTAAAGATCACTATGGACAGGAGGGTTAAAGATCACTATGGGAGAGGGAGGGGTTAAAGATCACTATGGGACAGGAGAGGGGTTAAGATCACTATGGGACAGGAGGGTTAAGATCACTATGGGACAGGGAGGGTTAAAGATCACTATGGGCCAGGGAGGGGTTAAAGATCACTATGGGCCGGGAAGGGGGTTAAAGATCACTATGGGCCAGGGAAGGGGTTAAGATCACTATGGGGGAATGGGGGTTAAAAGATCACTATGGGCCATTTAAAGATCACTATGGGGCCAGGGAAGGGGGTTAAAGATCACTATGGGCCAGGGAAGGGGGTTAAAGATCACTATAGGACAGGGGAGGGGGGGTAAAAATCACTATATGACAGGGGAGGGGGGTTAAAGATCACTATGGGACATGAGAGGGGAGTGGGTGGTAAGGAACACTATGGGACGGGGGGGGGTGTTAAACACTATGGGACAGTTTGTTCAGAATATTTTTTTTCTGGGTTTCCTCCTCTAAAACTAAGGTCTTATGGTGTGGTGCGTCTTATGGAGCGAAAAATACGGTATGTGTAAGCTCTCCCTTAATCTGTATTAGGAATGTGACTGTCAGCATCCTATAGATGAGACAACAGACATCTACAAATCTGCCTGCACAGTATGCGGAAGAGAAGGGAGAACTAGCAGATTGCACATTTTTTGCTAAATTCTGCAAAGAATAGAGCTTTCTTGGACATGTAGTTCCATTAACAGCATTTTACTTAAAACAGAATTTAGATGGACAACAACTGTGTCATTAATAAAATAATAGGGGTCCAGGCACTCCTTGGTTCAAAACAGGCACTTTATTGAGAACCACAACAGCAACGTTTCGACCCCAAAAGGTCTTTGTCAAGACAAGATTTGTGGGAGTGAGTGCAGTTCCACATATACTATTCAACAACTGTGTCATTGAATGGACTCAGCCTCTTTCTGCTGACACTCAAGAGGAACCTCCTTTCTTGGTTCAGAATGTCTTGCGTGCTGTTTTACCTTGAGGAGCTAAACTGTTTAAAGCTCTCCCCATACTCATCGTGGACCCTTTGCCTCGCCCTCCAGCTTCAAAGGGTCATCGATAATAGGATGACACTACTATCTGAAGCATTCTCATTGGTGGGCCAAAGATAGGCAGATGCTCTCAGCCTATCATGGGCACCCAGTGAAAGGATTCTGCATGAAAGCTGTGGCCACAGGAGGAAGCAGAGGGGACTCATTGAGAGCACTTTGAGGGTTAAACCACTTGTAAATGGTTTAACTCCTTACGATATGACAACATCAAGGACTTCCAGACACCATAACGACTTTGTTTAAATTAAATCGTAATGGTGCCCAGAGTAGTCCTTTAATAAACTTTTGTGCTCCAAGGGTGGATGAGGTCCTATCTTAGAACTACTGCTTTAGAAAATGAAAAATTTAGTTTATGCTGGAATACCACTGGAACAGCTTTCACATTCCCTTTTTAACACAGCTTGTCCTGTCTGCAGGGAGGAATTAAATGCTGCAGATGATGCAGTGGAAATATCAGGAAAAATAGAAGCCGTAAAAAATGTAGGAATTTCTAAGCAATAAATGTCTATAAAAAATTGTTTTCCCTTTTTCCTCTCTCTGTATATAAATTTTTCTCTTCAGCAGTTCCAACTTGGCCAAGTAATTACTTGAGACAAAGTTTTTCTCAAGTCTACCTTTCAAAGTGGCTCACAGCTTATAAACCATGAAATTAATAAAAAGCCATTTAAATCCTGACATAAGTGGTCACTAATATCAACATTAACTTTGTCATATAAATATCCATGGTTTTAATGACTGTAAAATAAATAAAAAAACATTTGAGATCAGTCTTACTTTGGCAGTAAGGGTTGATCACATGCTCCATGCTCTTACCTTGACTTTCCCTTCCTCCAACTGAGCCTGCCGAAATCTCGCCAAGGCCGTCCTATAAAAGCAAGGATATAAAGAACGTAATGTCATCAAAAGTAAAATATGCCTAATGCACTAGATAAACAACATTATATTTTGACAAGCAAAAGTGTTAAAGTTTGCAATGGAAATCAGCCATTCTAATGCCTAGAGACCGCAATAAAAAAATAGTTACAGTGTGTCAATTTTGCTTTCTTTCCGGTACATTATTAAAGGGCAATACCAAAGACTGTGGATGGGGAAAAATAATTGTGGAAGACTTAAAGGACCACTATAGTCACCCAGACCACATCAGCTCAATGAAGTGGTCTGGGTGCCAGGTCCCCCAGGTTTTAACCCTTCAGATGTAAACATAGCAGTTTCAGAGAAACTGCTATGTTTACATTGCAGGGTTAATCCAGCCTCTAGTGGCTGTCTTCTTGACAGCCGCTAGAGGTGCTTCTGCGATGCTGAATGCGAAAATAGCATTCAGCGTGCAGAACGTCCATAGGAAAGCATTGAGAAATGCTTTCCTATGGGCATTTTTAATGCACGTGCGGCTCTGGCCGTGCATGCGCATTCCGCTCCACTCGGGAGCTGAAGTCGGAGTGGGAGGAGAGGTCACCAGTGCCGAGGGAGACCGGGGCTGGATTAAAGTAAGTAATTGAAGAGGTTTTAACCCCTTCAGACCAGCGAGAGGGGGGCCCTAAGGGTTATATAGTGTCAGGAAAATGAGTTTGTTTTCTGACACTATAGCAATACTTTAAAATATTTTTTTAAATGTTTTTTTTATAAATATTGTTAATAGAGCCTTTTGGCCAAAATGATTTTCTCTTCAGCCTGTTGAATGCAATCAAGGTCAATAAAACATTTGTAACAGTTATTTGGGCAGTACTAAACCATAAAGGAATTCATATGAATTAACAGTGAAAATATTGAGATACTTCTTATCTCTTATTGGTATAATCGCATAAATCTCTTAAAGGAACACTTTATTCACCAAAACAACTAGCTTAATGAAACAGTTTTGTGTATAGATCATGCCCCCGAAGTTTCACTGTTCAATTCACTGCCATTTAAGAGTTATATGGCTTGGTTACTATATTGTCCCTTTCAACCTGGTGACATAAGCAATTTTTCTGGATTGATGGTTGGTAGGATTGATGATAAATCGTAAACTTAAAGGGATTCTCCAGTGCCAGGAAAACAAAGCCATTTTCCTGGGACTGGAGAATCCTGGAGTGCTCCCACAGAAATCTCACTTTAACAGTGCTCTCACTACTGCAAGGGATTCTGGGTAGGCATATGCAAATGAGCTCAACAAAGAACCACATTTTTGCCTCATAATTATAATTTTTATATGGATTCCTTTGAGTATGTGTCTGCTGTATACAACAGCTTTGAAACAACTCAGGAAGAGGAGCAAAGCCAGTGAACCACTCATGGACAGCAGTTTCATTGTTAATGTAACTCATCAGCATGAGGTTGGTTACTGGCTTGCTATAGGGGCTTGGCGTTACTTGTGAATTACATACCAAAAGAGTTGTGGTGGGGGAAAAAGTGTGGATGAGGTTTGGAATGGGTTTTCATCCACATTTTTTTCACCACCACAACTGTTTTGGTATGTACTTCACAAGTAACGCATCCATGTATAAAGTGGAATTGATTGGCTTGACTGATGTGTGTATTTCTGTATTAATTATCCACTTACTTCAGGTAGAAGGGGTTTTCATCCACTTATTTGTATAAATATATATATATATATATATATATATATACACACACACACACACAAAACTTCAGTTTCTACAGGAAAGGTATGTGGGGCTATTCAGTGAACTCCAAATTTTAATGAACAAAGGCCTTGATTTAAATATTTTGGATAAACTTTTAAAATGATTTAATATTATGAAAAATATTCTAATTTTGTAATATTTTGATATATTTTTTACACACACTCACTGAGACACATACACACCTTCACTGACATACAGACACGAATTGATGCTGCAAAACACACACACAGTCCCAAATTTTTATTTACTTTATTTTAATCCACCCAGCCTCCCTACCTTTGGTAGAGCTGGAGTGGATTATTTCCTTGCTGTCACCCAGGGCCGGCCTTAGGGGTGTGCAGCCACACAGGGCGCCATGAAGCAGGGGGCGCCGTGCGGCCGACACAGCTCACACATGGCCGGCCAGGATAAAAAAAATTGAGGCGGGCTTACCTGCGGCGGAGCTTAACGTGCTGTGTAACTGCTGCAGGGGAAGCAGGAAGGAGTCCCTGCTTCCCCCAACAACCAGAATCCAGGAGCTGCACTGCCTGTCTGCCTCCACAAGGAACAGAGGTAACTATGTGTGACTGTCTGTGTGTGTCTGCCTGTATGTGTGTCTGACTGTCTGCCTGTGTGCGTGTGTGTGTGTCTGACTGTCTGCCTGCCTGTCTGACTGTGTGTGACTGTCTGACTGTGTGTGTGTGTGTGTGTGTCTGACTGTGTGTGTGTGTCTGACTGTGTGGGAGACTATCCGCCTGTGTGTGTGTGACTGTCTGGGCAGACAAGATGGGTCGAACGGTTCTTATCTGCCGTCACATTTTATGTTTCTATGTCTGCCTCTGTTTTTGGGTGTGGCTGTCTGCCTGCCTGGCTGTCTGCCTGCGAGTTTGTGTGTGGCTGCCTGCCTGCGAGTTTGTGTGTGGCTGCCTGCCTGCGAGTTTGTGTGTGGCTGCCTGCCTGCGAGTTTGTGTGTGGCTGCCTGCCTGTGAGTATGTGTGTGGCTGCCTGCCTGTGAGTATGTGTGTGGCTGCCTATGTGTGACTGGGCAGACTAGATAGGCCGAATGGTTCTTATCTGCCGTCACATTCTATGTTTCTATGTCTGTGTGTGGCTGTCCGCGTGTGTGACAGGGTGTGTGGGAAGGGGGGGCCGCTGTGAAGATTTTTCGCACAGGGCGCCCAAAAGCCTAAGGCCGGCCCTGCTGTCACCTTCCTGCTCTGCTCTCTCACACACTGTTTAGTAATGCCAGGGCCAGAGTTAAGTCATAACCCGGCTCAGTGGAGGGCGCGCGAGGAAGCAGAGCAGGAAGAGGTCCCTTGCCACCTCCGCACTCAGTCAGCCGCCTGCCCGTCTCAGATCTCAGGCAGCCAGTCACCTCAGGGGCTGAATGTGCTTTCAAATCCCAGGCGACTCGAGCCTTGTTAAAGCAATACAAGCATCCACATGCATGGATAGAATACTCACATGGCCTTTTCTGCATTTCGAGCCTAAAAAGATAACAACAATTATTATCCAGGTAAAACTGTCACAGGGTTATTCAAACTGGGAATAGCAATTCATTATGATTCCTTAATTTACAGTTTTGTTTACATGCAAATTAGAGTAATTCTTCAGTTCAACTTTTTAAAATGTGTTTCTCCAACTCAGCTAGCATGGGCTAAAATTTGCCATTTGTCCACAATTCCTAGTTCAATAACCACTTATTTACATGTTTATATACGTTGACATCTCTACAGATATTCCCAAATAAAACAAATACTAAATTGGCTCTAACGCGTTAAATTAACTAGTCATACTCCCATCTTAAACATACATTAAACATACTCCAAATCTAGACATTTAGCAGAAACCACATAAGCAGATGAGTTTTAGATTTTTTATTTTCCAAATCTACTTTTTATAGTACAACGTTTGCCCAAATTTAGAATTTTTCATATTAATTGCTACAAGAAAAAACTATTGAGGATTAACAGCCCTCTAAGAGTTATAAACTACAATGATTATACATTCATATAAATGAATAATATAATTATGCTGATATCGAATATCGATATCAGCTCAAGTATACTATTTGGTTCTATAACACATACACTATATACAGCATAGCAATATTATATTACCATTACTAGGACTCACCATCTTTCTCAGCAATCAAACGCTGTAACACTAGAAACCACAGATACCGGAAATAGAATGGTACATACACGTTCCGGATGTGTCGAAACTTAGCATGGCACCTAGACTAACTAGGATACATAGTGAGCGTATTGTAAGAGAGACACCTAGTGTCAGGCATCAGTCATTGCAGCTTAGCCTGTATCGAACTGATTTGACTTTTTTTTTGTACTAATTAAACTAGTTTATTACATTTTATGTGAATATCTTATCCAACTATCAGGACCAGAGCATGACTTGTCATTGTATGGGTTTGCTTATTATATAATTGTATTGGTTATTGTTTCCCTCTCAGTCCACAAGTGTTTCTGGTATGTGTTGCAAAGGAAAATGCATTCACTACCTGCTGTAATCTTTTCCCCTGCCTATTTTCCATGGCTGCATCACTACCTGGTTCGCTCATTCCTCACAGCCACCATTAATCAACAGAATATTAAATTAAATATAGAGACTAATTTTAGTAAATATAAATGACTGTCCCTACTAGGGTCAACAGTCTTGTAATAAGCTGTCTAGACTAGGGTCTCCAAAAAGAGAGGAAAGTTGTAATACTGGTATAGAATTAGCAAGGAAAAGAAAATTACATTACTTACAGAAGATGCAGTAAACATAGCATAAGAAGACCACTAGGAGACTGAGCTGATGTAGACATTGTCCATCTTCTCATAGATAGTAAATTTTTCTATCGATACAAAAAAAACAGTATTTTTGGTTTTCTGAAAGGCATCTACCACTCTAGGAAGATCATTAGACTTTTGAGAACATCCAGCTTGTGCCAAAAGCAGGACACCAGGGAACTAATTTCAGATGGCAAAACTGGAACCAAAATTTTTGTCTCTGTCCTTCCGAAATTAGAATGTGTTAAATACAGGATATAAGTTAACATAATATTAAAATCCTGTGAAGTGAAAGAATTTAATTCTTTCTATAAAAAAATCTTGTTACTTCACCATCAGAACAACTCCAGAAATTGGAAGCCATGCTGTCAGAGAAAGTATCAAAAATCTCCACATCTGCACTAATGAAAATAATTAGAGACAACCACCAAAAAACTCTACAGCCAATAATTCAGAAATGGGAGAGAGATATAGTCAGGCAGATTAAATTATTAGAATGGAGGAATTCTTTTGAGTTTGGTTAACAAATCGATACATTGTCTAGATTTGGTTGAACTCCACTTTAAGAAAATCTCAAGATGGTATATCGTCCCTTCGAGAATAAAAAAGATGTATACAGACTCTTCAGATTGCTGCTGGAGATGCAATGCACGCTCAGCAGATTTCATGCATATCTGGTGGTCCTGTGGCCCTATTTATCTATTTTGGCAAATGATAAGTAAAAATTTGAAATTTCTTGTAGGTAAAGAAGTTCCCACTATACCAATGTGGCTAGCGCTGCATAAACAAAAACAATTGATTTAACTCCTAAATGGCAGAATATTGAGCAACGAGACTTCACAGGCATGAACTATACATGAACACTGCACTGTTAAACTAAAGTTATGTTGGTTTCCCTTGAAAGTTAGATGATGGATAGCTTACATAATGTTTAACCAAGTTGTTAAACCATGAGCCCTTCCTATAACCTCTGCTTCTGAAATACAATTTTTAATGTAACAATACCATCAGATATCTCTGGAACAGGAAGATCTGGCAGAATAAAAAGTTAAAAACTCTGTTGCTCCCCAAACAGGTAGAGAACATGCATACCTACCTCATAATTCCAGTGTCCTAAAACATGTGTGATGGTTGGGAGGTATGTGTATAGGAAGAGACTGAGCAGGAATGATCAGGCACAGGTCCATGCTGAAAATGTTGACCTGGTCAGGACCATCTTGAGCATCATGGCAAGAACCATTTTTGTCCATGTTAACATTTTAGAGTCTCTTTGCTACTGCAGATTATTCAGCATTCATGATGCAAATCTCCCAAATGGCATCTAAATAGAGATCTAGTGACTATGGAGGACCATGAAGTACACCAAACTCATTGACATGTTTGTGGAACCAGCTTCAGAAGAAATCAGCTGCGTCGCTAGGGGATGTGCATTTCTTTAGTCCCACAAGCAGTGTAGAGCTACTTCTGTGCTGCTCTCCCTGCCCAGTTATGCAATATAACCTCTATACACACTCACCATACTATTGCCATTATATTCAGTGATATACGGGAAATACAATTATTATCATTAGTACAAACAATTGCAAAGGATTCTTTATTGCCTGCAATGGAAGAAGGCCCATGAAATGCTTTGCTAAATGAAGCATTATGCTTCTGGAATTCTTCATACCATTATACCATTGTAACGGAACCGCTGGCACCCCGACCGGGTACCTTCCGCTAACGGATGCTCCTAGTGCTTTCCGAGGACTCCAAGCACTCTGCCCGACACCATAACCACTGCAGACCCCACGAACCGCCGCAGCTTGGTTGGGGGTCTCGCCGTCTCCTCCCACTCTGGACCTCTCCAAATTCCAGAGAGCAGGAACAGGAACAAGCTCTTGGCAGAGCTTAGTGATTATACCCTCGGGAGTATAGTGATTATAGCAATCCCCAGAGTGTAGTTCTCCAATCCCCCAAACATGAGCCGAAAATTCATGAAGGTGCAAGATGATCTGCTTTAATTGGCACCAAAGGGCATTCTTTTATGCAGATTATCCTTACATATGACCACCCACAGGTACATTACAGAAAACACTCCCAGCAATTACACACAAAATCCTCCCCTCTGCCTGTGATATAATTATGGTACACAATGGGTAACATAATTATCACAGACAGGAAAAATACAGTTTTTATACATATACTGTAACTTTAAAAATATACGTCCAATCTTCATAAAAATTACATATTCATATAACTCAGCACACGTTAATTATAAACATATCCAAAATTCAGACAAATCCATCCAGTAGATGAAAAGTTAGACGGAAGTCCTTTATGACCGACCGCAAGAACATTTTCATGCCCAAAACAGATTTGGACTGTGCGGTCGGTCTATTTCATGCAGAAAAATGACTAAGTCCCATTCGAATGCACGAATGAGGCCGTTCATGCATTTGGCTCAGTATAACAGTGAATTCAAACTGCCGAACGGGACTTAGTCTCTGTAGCTGAAAACGGAGTGTAGGAGAAGGTAAGAGTCAGCGGTGTTCGTTGAAATGTATAGCCAATTTCAGTTCCATGAATTTGGTTACACATACCGCTGACCTCGTTCGAATGAACAAAGATGGCCGCCGCCACGTGTTCGTTTGCACGAACTGCAGCCACCCAGCGGTCGGCAATTTACCTACAGCAGGCTCCCAACCTGGGAGGTAAATTGCCTGCACACTTCCACTTCTGGGTGGTCTGCCTGTGTGGTACTTGGTTCAGTAAGCCCCATTTACTGAACCAAGTGGATAATAGCATTAAACAAAGCATTTTAACCAAGTCTGGGGACACTTTCTTAAAGGGGCATTTTCACACAAAGTATATATCCCCAGACAGTTCTTTTTTTTTTTTTTTTATAATTCTTTATTTTTCATACGATAGGTAAAGCGGGCTCAAGCCGACATTTGGGCTTACGCAGAAGCCAATATTTGAGAGGTCATTCATATCAATACAAAAGATATAACTTTTAAATTTCCTAACATTCCTCTTTGTGCTTGCTTTGCGCCCTGCCTTACATCGTGGCCCAGACAGTTCTTAAAGGTCCAGCATGGTCCAATACAAATAAACCACAATGCAGTTCTTAAAGGGCCAGCAGCAGCACAATATAAATCCATTAGCCCAAATAATGTATGTAAAGTGCCATACAACCCAGGGCCATAGTCATGAGGCAGGAGGCTGGCACTCAGGCTCCTCCAACAGCCAGGTGCAAAGGGCAACTTGTCACCTAAAAATCCAGTGACAAAAGGCATTTTGTCACAACCATCATCACAAGAAAGCTAGCGTGCCTGTGACGGACAGGTTCAGTTAAGTAATCTCACCTTTACCTGCTACCTGCGGCCACTAGACCACCAGCGGCGTTGTCACAGTTGGGGAACATCACAAATTCAGCAAAGTCCCCAGACGGTGACAGTGCTGTTTTAAGACTCCACCGAATGTACGATGCAGCAAATATCAAAATTTATCAGACCAGTTCATGTTTTTCCACATTTTTGATGTTTAGTTTTGATATGCTTGTGCCCACTATAACCACACTTTTCTGTTAATTGGTGACAAAAGTGGAACCCAGTGTGTGATTAACTTCTCTTGTAGCCCATCAACTTCAGGGTTTGACATGTTGTGCATTCAGGGACAACAGCAGCGGTGTATTTACCGTGAGGCTGGCAAGGCATTTGTCTTGGGCGGCACTTACAGGGAGCGGCAAAAAAAGCTGGGAAGGGGGGTACCTGGGTTTTTTCATGCATAGTGCAGCACAAAATCAGAATACACCACTAGACAACAGTATTTTTATGTGTATTTATTTTACCTAATCACTGTCTTGTAAATTTGAACCAGCCTGGCCTTACTATCACATGGCTGATTCGATGTTTGCATTAAAAGAACATTACAACAACTTCATCTTATTGAAGTTGTTGTAGTAGCAATGTATGTCCCTGTTTTTCTTGTATTTCATTATTTTTTTTCTCTTGCTCAAGGACTTAAAACACCACTTTTAGCCATACCCCCAAGCCAGGCCCGGACTGGCCATCGGGCACATGGGCAAATACATGGTGGCCGTGGGCCAAGGCCGGCAGGGGCGGTTACAGGACATCCCCTGCCGGTCTATGCAGGGCCAGTACTATCCAAGCGCCGGTGATCTATCAAATTCCCTAACCTTGTGAAAATCCCCTACACAGGATGTTAGTCGATGTCAAAGGGAAACTCCCTAGCGGCCATTTTAGGTAAATCACATAGAAAGTTGAATAATGCTGATTGTAGTTATATTGAGTAAATAGGCATTTTACTAACCTGAATTGGGTTAATATTTTTGTCCACAACACTAAGCTTAGGCACACAGGACATCTAGGGTTAAGTGAGGGTTCAAATTAGGGTTAGGTAAGTGATTTTTAACCTCTCTCACACTCTATTCTTACCCTAACCTTTGGGGTAAGGGTGAAAATTTTGGTGTGTACCTTTAAATGATAGATAATTACAGTTTTACATTCATGTTTAGATTGTAAATAAAATGCTCTGGGGAAAAAAACACCAACAAAACTCACCGTATATCACATGCAGAATTTATTCACTCCAATGCCATCAAACATTTATTATTCTTTATTGTATAAAATAACCTAACTGAAAAAACACCAAGATTGCTATTCACTGAAAATCATTTTGGGGAAATCATGGGCAAAGTTTTGGATAAAATTCTCTAAAATTACAAATTATGGTAAACTAAAATAAACATGGCAACATTTAGAAAAATAGCTCATCTGGGAAAATTATCCCACTCGGCTAAATAATATTTTATCAATTCCTGCATATGGTTTCCATTTGGAATTTCATTCACTACAATTCTGAACAAACCAAACTGCATTTAGCCAAATTTTACATTAATTGACTCAACTAATGCTCAAAGTGAGCTGAATTGATTAACTCCTTCACTACCAAAAATGTTTATACACAAATGTAAAATGTATACCCTCAAAACTGCATTATAGGAACAAAAGCAAATGGATGGGAAGCTTAAAGGGACACTATAGTCATCCAGACCACTTCAGCTCAATTAAGTGGTCTGGGTGTCAGGTCCCTCTAGGGTTAACCCTGCCTGATGTAAACATAGCAGTTTCTGAGAAACTGCTATGTTTACATCTGGGGTTAGGCCAGCCTCTAGTGGCTGTCTTCCGGCCAGCCACTAGAGGCGCATCGGCAATGATTGAGGCATATTATGCCTCAATCACGCAGAGCATCTATAGGAAAGCATTGAAAAAGGATGAACAAGGATGCTGACGTCGGCGGAGGAGGAGAGGTAAGGGAGCCAGGCGGGGGAACAGGGTGACTAGCTGAAGGGGTTTTAACCCCTTCAGCGCCGCGGGAGATGGACCATGAGGGTGGGGGCACCCTCAGGATACTATAGTGCCAGGAAAACCAAGCGGTTTTCCTGCCACTGTAGTATCCCTTTAATTCAGAGCAGCAGTCATGGCATCCCAAGCAGAAAATCAGCCATCGGAGCTACAACCAAGATCTTGCTTGTGGTGGGAAATCTTGCTAGCAGTTGTAGCTCTGCTGATTTAACGTATGCATTTGTGATTCTGATTGTGTGTATGTTTATATCTGTAAATTTGTGGCTGTGTGTATTTGCCTGCTTAAATGGTGTGTATGTGTGTGTTTTTTTTTTTTCCAGTGCCAATGTATATGACTAAATATAACATTATATATATTATATATAAAATAGGATGACCACATTTCCTAACTGCCATTCATGGACACTTACTTTCACAAGTGCATTTAATCAAATTTATATTGTGGAGCTGATTGTGGTGTGTGTGTGTGTAGGAAGCTTTAGTGTGTATATACAGAGGCTGTTTTGTGTGTGTGTGTGTGTGTGTATAGTGGGCTGTTTTTGGGGGGAGGTGCTTGTGTGCATAGGGGGCTTCAGTGTCTATTAATTTGATGTATTGCTTGAGGGGATTGGGGTTTCAGGGTGCTGGGTGGGATATTAAACATATGTAATAATTATGCATATATTGGCATAATAAAAAAAAAAATGGAAAAACAACCGTACATTTATACCCCACCTCCCTTCTGTTACCTTTTGCCAAGGGAGGAGGGTTTCTTGGTTGTGTAGTGGGCTGAGTGCCCTCTCTGGCTGTTTCCTCTGAGGAGCTCCGCCGTTACTGAGAGCGTTGCCATGGAAAACCACACTCTCAGTAACCGAAGCTCGCGGGGAACAGACCACATGGCCGACCCCCAGCAGGAGATGAATACAGCCTCTCCTGCGCCACTCTGCCTGTCTGTGCAATTGGCCGGTGAAGAAGTCCAGTTTCCTCACCAGCCCAACAAGGGACTTTGTCACATGTTTTGGCTTAGCTCACTGAGCATCGGCCCTGAGTTTGCCGGCCGGGGAGATCCTTTAATCTCCCTGGTCGGCGTAGTTCCTTGGCCATCGTGGCCTGGAGACAGACAGAGGCGGTGGCATTGCAGCTCAGCTCATTCCAGGACACTACACTGTCCCGGAATGAGGATCCCAGGACCCAGGACAGACTCTCAAAATGTGAGACTGTCCCAGGCGATCCGGGACACGTGGGCACCCTAATATAAAATAAAAAATGTTTACCTATGCAGCTGTACAATGTCACCTTCTGTTGCTGATCTGTTGATTTGTGCTGCATAAAAAAATATAACAATTAACCATAAAAAGTGTAAAATTAAAAAAAAAAAAATTGGGACCATTTGAATGCACTTAATATCTGAATTTCTGATCTTTCCTAAAAGATTGAATCATTTATTTTATTAGTAGACATTGTACTGCTCTGAATTGACACACATATCCCATTGTATTTAACTAATAAGTGTAATTTACTAAAGTGACAATTCAAAGCTAATTTCAAAGCTTAGGCCAAAGTAGCCAAACCAGAAATATAACTGACTGAGATTTCTTTTCCAAGTTCGACTATTTTGATCTGAATTTAAAAATCCACATTGAATTCTCACCTTGAAGAATTCCGAATGACTTTAGTAAGCAGACAAAATTGCTATCAGATGAATTAAATTGCACATTTTGAGTAAACTGTACTTTTTAGAAGACATTGTAATGTTCTGAATTGTAAAGTACATATGTAAATAGCATATACACAACAAGCACCATCTACCAAAGCAAGAACTCAAAGTAAATTCAAAGCGAATTTGAAAATTCAGGCCAAAACAGACAAACCAGAACTATAGATGACAGAAATGTTTTCCATTTCGACTATACTGGCCTTATGTTTGAAATTCACCTTGAGTTCTCAATTTAGTAAATAAATCAAATGACTTTAGTAAGTAACAAAATTGCTATCAGATCACAACTAATATTGAAAAATTGGGCAATTCAGTAGCACATTTTGAGTAAACCGCACATAATCCTCATGTCTACAATGCTCCCTTTAACTGAAATTCTCCTACGAACACATTATATGTCATAGAATAGTACAGATCTTAGAATTTCCAAGACCTGACAGTTCTGGTTCTATCTCTACCGGGCCTGCCCCTGTGTATTTAGAACTACCCGCACAATGGTCACTGATAATCATTTGCTGAGTTGATCGATTTTGCAAATGGTCACCCAGACTTTTAAACATGGCTTTCATGTCCGTGATTCTTTCAGACTTCTCGTATAAAAGTCTCTTGGATTCCATGAGTTCCTTGGACAAGTTAAAGATTTTATTCTCCTTCTGTACATTTTCTCTGTGCAATGCTGCAACATTTTCCTTTAGATATGAAATGGTCTCTTGGGCTTCCCACAGCTGCAAGAAAAGAGAAAAACTAAAGTTTTTTTGTTGTTAAAATGTATATAATATATACAATAATACAACTGAACAATATTACTTTATATACCAAATAGGGAGATGGAACCCATATTTTTTCATGCTCTTTTATTGTAAAAAAAAAAAAGAGAGAATGGTTAAAGGGTCTGTGTAACTTTCTGTAGCTATCTTTTATGGTTTCCCATTAGGAAAAAATGTTTTTGTTTATTTTTTTAACTCTCTATTATAGTTCAAACAATTCATTATAGCAGTGCTAGTTCCAAATGGATAGGAAAAAGAAAATATCTTTAAATAGTTTATCCATAGATGAGGAGTCCTGGAATCTGTCCCAAGTTACATTTCCCTACTTGAGATATTTTAGTGCATGGGTCCTCAAACTATGGCCCCCCAGATGTTGCTGAACTACAACTCCCATGATTCTCTGGCTACCTATGTAATTCAAGTAATCATGGGAGTTGTAGTTCAGCAACATCTGGGGGGCCAGAGTTTGAGAACCCCTGTTTTAGAGGAATATTTTTGGGTTCAGATGGACAGAATTTCATCCATGCAGAGTTTCGGTTTGGCAAATGGCCCAAAAGCGTACCTTTTAGTGTACTGCAAACTATATGCATAATCAATTGGGTCAAAATTCAGAGTAGGTTTTGAAAAGTCAGTAACGCTTTTATTAGTAAACCAATTTAAATTATATTTCATACAATGAATGTTTAACGTATGGAGATTTGTTTGAATAGGTACGGAAGTTTAAATTTTTGAGCCCCACTGGCTGCCTCGCAAAGTCAGGCTCTTTTGATTGCATTATTCATAACATTAGTTTTTTTGTTTTTTTTTAATTAGATTTTTATTGAAGCAAATTTTTCCATAGACAACAAATAGACTGCACCTTACGGTAAAGTTCATGACATATGCAGCAGACAAATAAATAATTACATATCATATAAAACATATTACATCATTCTACATCCTCATATTAATTGGAATGTAACCCCAAAGTGACAAGAATAAGATACAACGTACAAGTACATATATAAACAAAACATACATAAAATGACAGTACCCATCACCCTTTCAGAGCAGGAGAATTTCCCTAAAAAAGAAGAAAGTAATAATGCATAATACCTCGACAATATTGGTGTCTTTATGTCCATATTCACACAGTCCTTGGCATCCCCTGGTTGTTAACTATGAATCTTATATAGTTGTAGTGCAAATCAACACTATTTTATATGTTAATAGCTGTGACCTATGTTAGATTTTTAAGATGAATCTGACTAAGGCGAAGATTGTCCATATAATCGCTTATATTTTCTATACACCAAAACTGCTTCATTAAGCTAAAGTTGTTCAGGTGACTATAGTGTCCCTTTAAGATTCTAATTAAGGTGCAAAAGGGCAGTCAGCATTTTCCGTAATTCTATTGGCAGTCATAGTAGTAAAGATATTAAATGTCCCCGAGATATGTCACTAGCGAATATAGTCTTATTGCCCAAACCTGGGAAAGATTACTCAATCCCGGCGAATTTTCGCCCAATATCATTAATTAATCATGATTCCAAAATCTTAGCAAAAGTGTTAGCGATCAGACTGAACCCAATTCTCACTAGCCTGGTCCACCCAGACCAGGTGAGCTTCGTACCGGGTAGGCAACTGTTTGAGAATACGAGACGCAACATTGATCTTATAGGGAGACAAACTAGGCTGCAAACCCCTGCATTGATGCTGTCACTAGACGCCGAAAAAGCGTTTGACAGAGTCAAATGGCCGTATCTATTTGAGATGTTACACCATTTCGGCATGCCGGCCCTGTTTATCACGATAATTAAAGCCTTATACTCCAACGTCAGGGCATAGGTCAGAATAACGGGAGCACAATCCATCCCTTTCCTATTGAGCAATGGTACAAGACAGGGTTGCCCTCTTTCACCATTGCTGTTTGTCCTATCATTAGAACCCCTCATGCAAACGATACGCGTAACCCCAGAGATCAGGGGAATCACGGTGGGGGACAGAAATACGTTATATCGGGATTCGCTGACGATATATTATTATCATTGATGGACCCACAGGAATCTATGGCAACACTGACAGGAATACTGACAGAGTATGGTACGGTGACCAGATACAAGGTCAACTTACACAAATCGAGTGCACTCCCCATAAGGGTGAGCAATGCAGACGCAGCGCAGACATATCATGTCAACATAGCAAAAGATCACATTAAATACCTGGGCATCTGGTTAACGGCGGGTCCCTCCCTCTTGCATCAACAGAATTACGCTCCACTAATCAGGCAACTAATACATGACATGGAGACGTGGGTAGATAAACCAATATCTTGGATCGGAAGAATACATTCTGTGAAAATGAATGTGCTACCTCGGATATTGTTCCTCTTTCAAGCTCTCCTGATCCACTTGACTAAATGTAACCTGGTAGCACTTCAGCAGGCTATCGGCAAGTTTATCTGGCAGAATAAGAAACATAGGATCTCACGGAATATACTTTATAGAGCTAAGGATAGGGTGGGGCTGGGTCTGCCAAACCTTTATTACTACTATTTGGCGGCCCAGTTGACCCAAATAGCGTTATGGCATACACCCCCTAATGAGAGGAGGTGGGTGGATTTGGAGTCCTCTTGATGGGCCCGGATCTCCCCCAGTTCCTTATATGGACCCCTAAGGAATTTAGATCTCTGGACCAGTTGCCTTGCCAAGCGGTACAGGCCTCTCTCAGGGTCTGGTATGCAACCGCCCTCGAATATGGCTTGACATCTACCCCGTCGCCAATGATCCCGTTCTTGAGAAATAGAGATTTTCTCCTGGGCATGCAAGCTAGGAATTTTAAGGGACTTGAAAACGCAGGACTGCAGAGACTATTTCAACTGTTTGAAAATGGCTCCCTTGTCACATTTGAGGAACTGAATAGTAGGGCCCCCTTGAGACCTTTCGACTACTTTCGCTATCTTCAGCTTAGAGACTATGCCCGAGATACCAGGATCAAAAAGGCAGCGCAGACACCATGGACGTTTTTCGAAAGAATTTGTTCAAAGGAACAATTCCCGAGCAGCCTAATCTCCTGTTTATACTCCCATCTGAGTACTCACACTCTGGAATGGGGAGACATAAAGTACATAGATCAGTGGGAAGCAGATTTGAATGAAGTGCTGGAGGGTGTAGAATGGCAGGAAATATGGGAGGCAGCAGCAACATCTTCAGTGTGCGTATCCTTGCAGGAACAATCATATAAGACCTTGTTTCGGTGGTATACCACCCCAGTGACGCTGTGCCGCATGCGTAGAAACCCAACAGACTTGTGCTGGAGGGGCTGCGGACATAAGGGTAAGTATATCCATATGTGGTGGGAATGTCCAGTGGTGCAGATATACTGGAAACAGATCGCAGCATTGTTGCGAGAAGTGTTCGGCAGGGAGGTGAAGGTAGACCCATGGGTGTTCCTATTGTTAAGATCCATGGATGATTGGACAAAAACGGAACAAAACCTCCTTCACAAGATAAACCTCGCCGCAAGACCAGCCTTAGCGCAGGTTTGGCTACAGAGGGACACTCCTACGATGGCAATAATAAAACATAAAATAAAGGATACCTTTTTAATTGACAAATTGACAGCTCAGGTCAGAGGGACTACGAAGAAATTTTAAAAGATCTGGGACCCTCGGATCAATAGTACAGTAAGTAATTAAAACAGCAGACTGGACCAAAAACATAAACCATACATCCGTACCACTCAGGGCATTGAAGAGACAAGTTACAGACCGCTTCATCTAAACCCATCTCTCTTTGAGGGAAACTTAGGGGATAGAAAAGAGCAGGGAGCCCCCAAGAAAGAGGGGGGAACCTGCAAACAGGTGTGTCTGGGGCGACCACAATTGGGCATAACCCTCACATATATAAGTGTAAAAAGGAAAAAGACAAGACCCACAAGGTCAGAGTTGGGAAGCCCCCTAATGAAGTAATGTATATGTAAAACGTAACTTTTAATAAAGATTTATAAGAACGTCCATACAAATAATCAAAAATAAATTTTTTTTAAAAGGTTTGAGAAATTAGGGAGACCAAAAAGTAATAAAATAAAGAGTAGTACAGGGGGCACAAAAGTGCCTCTAGAAGCAAATGGTAGGGTCATATGAATAAATATGTCTCTTGTAGATTAAAGAAGACCCTCCCTGGTTGTGTACTTTCCTTGTATGTCAGACTAATAACTGATACTGCTACTTAAGAGTCACTGGGTAGGTGCACTGCTATATAGTATCAAAAGAGCGATACACTAAGTAAATGTATATAAATATGGAGGGTATCAGTGTTCTTGGGAGAGTGCAGAGATACAAAATAACCTCTCCTATACACACTTGCAATGAGGGACCCCCCCACACAGGAATTGCTGATAGAAAAAATAGCAGCCCCCCAAACCCTATAAAAGGCTCTTGGTGATAAAGTAACCCTAAGCAGACAGCTAAACATCAAAAAGACTCTAAACCTGCCTATTCCTAGGATAATAGAGAAATACTAAAAGGTCTCCCTGCCTTCTGCCTGCCTAACACATGTTTCGGCGCTGTGGAACGCGCCTTCTTCTGAGGCTAATCAAAACCTCCATCTGAAACAGAAGCTGTTTAAATAGCCGCAAAGCGTCGGTACAAAAGAGGGGGCGTGTGTTTGGCATTCGCGCCAAAACTCAGTCCGTGTAGACCATGCCCCCACCTGTGCATGGCGGTCACCTATTGGATGGCGTCAAATATTCATAGACGCCAATAGGGAAAAGGAAGACAGGGGTGTGTGCTTATTATGCACGCTGAAGAATTGAGTCCAGGCTAAGCCACGCCCCTATTGATGTTGCATATCAACCAGTGTTGGTATGGCAACATAGGCTTGTAAATAAACAAATCCACGCAACTGTTCAAAAGACCGAGCATCCGATACGGACATAGGAGAGGACACGCAGCGTTCCAATCACAGATTCATTGTATCCCCTCAAATTGTGAATGGATGGCACCTGATCCCAAAACAAGGAAAGTACACAACCAGGGAGGGTCTTATTTAATCTACAAGAGACATATTTATTCATATGACCCTACAATTAGCAACCATTTGCTTCTAGAGGCACTTTTGTGGCCCCTGTACTACTCTTTATTTTATTACTTTTTGGTCTCCCTAATTTCTCAAACCTTTTTAATTTTTTTTATTCTTGATTATTTGTATGGGCGTTCTTATAAATCTTTATTAAAAGTTACGTTTTACTTCATTAGGGGGCTTCCCAACTCTGACCTTGTGGGTCTTGTCTTTTTCCTTTTAAAACTTAGGGGATGCCTAGGATAGATGAAGTCAGTAAGGCAATGCAATCCTTGCGACACTTATCGTTGAGCGGCTCCCCCTGCACTCCCCCTCCCCCCCCCCTTTTCATCCTTCCCATGCTCACCCCTAACTACTTCTCTCTACTTCTTCAGACCCTCGAGGTTGCTCTTTCTGTTTCTGGTTCCAATCTTTTGAACCATGTATAATTTTCCTTACAATTGTAAGATTGTGCATAACGGGACTATCAAGGGTATACAGTAAAGCTAGAGAAGCAAGTGTGAATATGTATAGTGCCCCTAACTGTTCTCAGTGCAAGCTACAGCAAAGTAGTTACATGTTTTATTTTACTACGAAAACACCAAGTGGGATGTCTTGAGATACTTAAAGGAGTTAATCACACCTTGGAAAATCCAGGCAAAAACGCATTTCATGATTGCGAATTCTGTAAAATCTAAAAATTAGAATGTGCATTCATGCGGATAATGTTGTAAGCCGAAAACTGCTGCGTATATGCCTATTTTGAAAGTGTATTGATATTGTTATGTGTGTTATGTATAAGTTGTCCTGCTTTGGAACAAATAAAGAATTTAAAAAAAAAGATATTAAATGCCCATGACCATAAAGGTCTAACAACGGGACAAGACCACCAAATCTGAATATATGTACCCGGATGACTGCCACATCTCCAGCAAGTAGGGTCACAGGAATCATACATTCTGGCTAATCTAGACGGAGTATAATAAAATATGAAGGACCTTGAAGTGGCATTCGGTCAAATTTAAACAATGAATATGTTTGTTTAAATGAATTAAAGAGGAATGCCAGTCAACTAGAGGAATCTCAAGTTCCAATTCCTGTTCCCAAGTCTTAACTAATTTATAGGGAGACTCTTTAAGACATTCTAACATGGAGGTTGCGGCAGATGTAACCTTATTGATAGGGCGATTACTAAAAATAAATTCAAATTTTTTGGCAGATGGGGAGGAGGAGTTGATGACATTTTTATGAATGAAATTTTTTAAACGAAGATAATTAAAAAATAGTTATCTATAATGTGTTGAAAGGACAATATATTATGCCCCTGCATAATATCAGTGATCGTTAATTTATCCACATTGGCCCAATTTATTAATGAGAAATCTTTATAATTTCTAATATATGAAGTCTGCAAGACTTAGGTATAAGATTGTTAAAACCTAATGTTTTCTTAATTTCCAACCATTTGTCTAAGGTTTGGGTCAGTGTCATTAAATTTGTTGAAGAAGAATTCATTAGGGTGTTCCTGGTAACTGTCCACATATAGTATTGTAATTTATCAATATGAGCCACTTCAGACTCGATAATAAACCATGGTTCGGAGACCTGTTTAGGATCCTGTAGAGTATATATGTGTCTGATAATATTTGCCTGATAACTATAGATAATGCTACGAAAATTTAGGCCACCATTGGACAATTTTTTAGATAACATTTTCTGACTAATTCTGGGTTTTTTATTGTTCCAGATAAAATTATTAACGCTTGATTGAACCATTGCTAACCAGGGACTGGGGACTTTAAGTGGAACCATGGAAAACAGATATAGCCACTTAGGCAGGATATATGCGTTAATATTTATTTTACCCTGCCATGAAGTTTCGAGGTTTTTCCATTTTTTTAATAACATTAGTTAATGTTGAGGCTTGGGCACTCAAATTTCTACATGAATATTCTCCTTTAACTAATCGAGTGTACATGGTTTGTTCAGTTTTCTTCAGCAAGAGCAGGCCACTCATACCGCTCCTTCTGGAGGAGCCAACCTGTGGAAGCACTCGCGGGAGCAGTACTAAGTGGTCTGCACCAGGTGAGAAGCTGCCTGGGCCTCTCCCTGGCATGAAAATGCGTTGGACAGTGAGGGACCCTGCATATTAAAATTATATGTTAATACACCCCTGCATTAAAAAACCAACACTACACATAAATACATGTTTGCAGTCACGCCAACACCACATACAAACATATTCCATACAAAAACGTTTTTACATTCAAACACACAAAAACTGCTTAGTGCTAAATACAAATCTGCAAACATTTCTGGAGTTGCACGGCAGATGGGGATCTACCTATTAATCACCCGTGCAATAGGAAGGCTCAAAAAATTCTTGCACCTCTTTACTTTAGGTCCGCCACTGCGTTGGGGTGGAGGACGTGATTGCACGCGTGAGGAGGGGGGGACAGAGTCCAGGGGGCCCAAGCAAATGCTTTGCCCAGGTCCAGTCAATATTAAAGATGGCCCTGATGCACCTATACCAACACAGTTATCTCCAGGTACCTTTCACGTAACCTGCATATGGCGATTCCATGGTAATTGCCCCACACATTGATAAATACCCACTAGTGATTCTCATCCTTACCCCTAATCAGTATATGAGTTTACTATTAATATATTAGTCATATAATTATAGCACACAATAGTCCCTGCAATCCACTTTCCCCAAGGAAAATGGTGCATTCATACATGCTTTGAGCACTTGAGGACATCCAGCATCACCCAAAATCCAGCAGAAAAGCATCATATAATGCTTTCCTCAGGGGAATTCATAATGCAAATGCAGCCATTGCGCGCATGCGTTTTAGGTCAGCCGGCGGGAGATGAGTGGAGGCGAAGCCAGACCCAGGTCAGGTAAATGATAGCAGGTGTTTTTAACACCTTCTGCACCACGAAAGGGGGGGATGCAACAGGGGGGTGGCACTATAGTGAGCTCTAGTGCCAGGAAAACAACTTTGTTTTCCTGGCACTATAGTTTCCTTTTAACGTATAGGTTAGACGCAGGCATAGGAAACCTTCAGCACTCCAGATGTTTTGGACTACACCTCCCATGATGCTTTGCCAGCATTATGGGGGATGTAGTCCACAACATCTGGAGTGCCGAAGGTTGCCTATCCCTGGGATAGAGCACAGTCAGATACAGGCTTAGGTCAAGTTTGGAGAAAATTAAAATACTAGTATAATGAAGCCAAGGTTCAGGGATACAAAATAAAGGATTAAACATAGTCAAGTCAGCTACTAGAAATACCAAGATTATAGGAGCGCACTATCAGGCTATAAAAATCACATCAGGGCAAGGAAGTGATGTCAGAGAAAGGCTTAAAGGGACATTATAGTCACCAAAACAACTTTGGCTTAATGAAGCAGTTTGCCCCTGCAGTCTCACTGCTCAGTTCTCTGCCATTTAGGAATTAAAGCATGTTGTTTATGCAAACCTAGTCACACCTCCCTGCAGGTGACTTACACAGCCTTCCTAAACAGTTCCTGTAAAGAGCTATCTAATATATTCACTTCCTTTATTGCAAATTATGTTTAATTTAGAATTAATTATCTCCTGCTCTCTTAAAAGTTTGCTAGATCTTGCAGGAGCCTACTGTATATATTTAAAGTTCAATTTACAGAGCAGGAGATAAAAACTTTTAACCCCTTAAGGACGGAGCCAAATGTACACATTGTGAACAAAACAAAATGTAAACAAAACCTGGCATTTGCGCTACATGTCTGTCCAACCGTAATACACCTCTTTCATAGTAAATGCACCCACCCTTATTATATATCATTTTATTCAGGGGAAACAGGGCTTTCATTTAATATCAAATATTTAGCTATGAAACATAATTTAATATGAAAAAAATGGGAGAAAATACGATTTTTTTGATTTTTTTAGTTCTAAATTGCATTTTAAAGGTCAGTGTCATAATACTGTTTGATTTTACTGCAATAAAATACACATATTTGTATTTAGTAAAGTCTCACGTGTAAGACAGTACCCCCTATGTACAGGTTTTATGGCGTTTTGGGAAGTTACAGGGTCAAATATAGCACGTTACATTTGAAATTGAAATTCGCCAGATTGGTTACGTTGCCTTTGAGACTGTATAGTAGCCAGGGAATGAAATTTACACCCATAATGGCATACCATTTGCAATAGTAGACAACCCAAGGTATTGCAAATGGGGTATGTCCAGTCTTTTTTAGTAGCCATTTGGTCACAAACACTGGCCAAAGTTAGCGTTAGTATTTGTTTGTGTGTGAAAATGCAAAAAATGCCAATTTTGGCCAGTGTTTGTGACTAAGTGGCTACTAAAAAAGACTGGACATACCCTGTTTGCAATACCTTGGGTTGTCTACTATTGCAAATGGTATGCCATCATAGGGGTAATTTTCATTCTTGGGCTACCATAGGGTCTCAAAGGCAACGTAACCAATCTGGCGAATTTCAATTTCAAATGTAACGTGCTATATTTGACGGATGTGCCGTGGGGGGCTCCCTGGGAGTCCCCCCAACCGCGATCGCCGGCGTGGGACCGCCGGCGACCGGCGTTTAGAGCCGCCTATTAGAGGGCGTAATTGTACGTCCTCCGGTTTTAAGGGGTTAAAGTAAGTTAAATCTGATTTGCTTTCATTCAGGATGTGTGAGTAAACATATAAACATAAACAAAATCGATTTAACTCCTAAATAGCAGAGGATTGAGCCGTGAAACCTCAGTCATGATCTATACACAAAAATTACCTCATTAACCCGTTAAGGACGGAGCCAAATGTACACGTTGTGATCAAAACAAAACGTAAACAAAACCTGGAATTTGCGCTATATGTCTGTTCAGGTCTAATTCACCTCTTTCATATTATGTGCACCCACACTTATTATATATTATTTTATTCAGGGGAAACAGGGCTTTCATTTAACATCAATTATTTAGGTATGAAACATACTTTAATATGAATAAAATATAAAAAAATGGGAGAAAATAAGAATTGGCTACTAAAAAGACTGGGCATACCCCTTTTGCAATATCTTGTGTTCGCTACTATTGCAAATGGTATGCCATCATGGGGGTAATTTTCATTCCTGGGCTACCATACAGTCTCAAAGGCAACATAACTAATCTGGCGAATTTCAATGTAAAAAACTGAAATGCAAGCCTTATATTTGACTCTGTAACTTTTGAAAACACCATAAAACCCATACATGAGGGGTACTCTTATACTCGGGAGACTTCGCTGAACACAAATATTAGAGTTTCAAAACAGTAAAACGTATCACAACAATTGTTACAGGGTTGAATATAGTGCTAGCAAATTAAATTCCCTGGACTTTAGGCCTGGGTTGTCAGGCAGGTCCCGCAAATTGTAATGAATAAAATGACCTAATTATGTAAAATTATTACGTAAATATATACGTAGAATTATTATATATATATATATATATATATATATACACGTGTGAGTGTGTATATATATATATATATATATATATATATATAAAAAAATCGAAAATCCCCTGCACTCACGTCCAAAGTCCCACCGCCGGGAGCAAACACCAGGGCTCCACGATACACAGACTCCAAAGTGGCAACGGCTGCTCTCCGGTTTTAAAAAAGAAGTTTTTATTAAATCATAATAAAAGCAATGACCAACGTTTCAGTCCCAGCTCGGGACTTTCCTCAGGGTCCAAAAAACAGAATAACAAATGCCATAAATACAAATCCTAAATATATACCTATATAATTAAAATTAAAACTCACCCAGGTGTGCTACTGCCATCACCACCGGGATCGCCGGACTTCCGGGTATGCGCGCGCACCCGCACGCTTACTCCTCCCACCCCACGTGCTGACGTAATACGTCCAATCACCATGGAAACATATACACGAACATCTCAACACCGTGGCAACTGAATGCTAATTAAAAAGATCGTGGTTATAAAAAGTGTACAAGTGAAAGATGTTATGGACATGTGAATGATTAAACATTATTAAGAAGGGGGTATATAAACACCCACATAGCCAATGTATAATTATGACACTGGCGATGTATAAACTTGAAAGTGCATAGTTAGTATTAAATAACATGATTAAAGTGACATGAGTGTAAAGTGCATTATAATATGCTATCATATAATAAAGTGCTAAATGCCCTCAAGTGCATAGTATACCCAATACATCAATATTATTTAAAAGGACTAATAGCATATGACACATACTAAAAATAAGAAAAAACTTAGAAAAAAATTAGAAAAAAATTAAAATTAATTCATCTTATGTTCTAATACTAAACACCAACTATATATAATGCTTATAATATTAAAAACAAAAATTGGTAACAAGCTATATTTCAAATAAAGGCATTGTACGGAATATTTTCATTAAGTCCCATGGGAGATACTGTATTTAATTGATATATCCAAAACGCTTCCCTTTGAAGGAGCATTTTACTCCTATTGCCACCTCTACGAGGAAGAGGGATATGGTCTATACCCACAAATTTAAGGCATGTCAATGAATGATTTTTATCCAAAAAATGTTGAGCCACCGGTTTGTCCGAATGTCCGTCCCTGTACGCCAATCTAATACTCGAACGGTGGCCTCTAATTCGTTCGCAGAGTTGTGTCTCCGTCTTGCCCACGTAATACAATCCACACGGGCACATCAATTTATATACCACAAACATTGTTTTGCAAGTGATAGTGTGTCTAATATCATAGACTTTATTAGTGTGTGGGTGGCTGAATTTTTTTGCCGGTATCATGTGTCCACAAGTTACACAACCCAGGCACCGAATACACCCTCGTATATTTTGTTTCATATCCTTCGAATAACTTGCAACTGGATCTGTATGCACCAGCAAGTCTTTCAGGCTCTTGTTCCTTTTGTAACATATCAACGGAGGTTCCTTGAACACTTTTGGCAACGTGTCATCCGTTGCAAGCATCTTCCAATTGTCTTTAATCACTGTTGATACCAAATTCGAGGAATTATGGAAAGTCATAGGAAACATTATCCTCTGAGTAAGATCCTTCCTAGGTTGTACTGAAACTGCCTTAGCCTTTGTCAGTGCATCTTCCAATATTCTAGTTTCATATCCCCGTTCAAGAAATTTGTGGGTCATGGTTATCAACTGTGTCTCCGCTTTATCTTGGTTTGAATTATTACGAATTACTCTTTGGAACTGTGCCTTTGGAATAGAATTTTTCAACGTAGTAGGATGAGCACTACGTGCATGCAGCAAAGTGTTACGGTCTGTGGGTTTCGTGTACAGCGTATATTGTATTTTATTGGATTCATAAGACAACTCCAAGTCTAAAAATTGGACCTTCTCATCACTGATATTGGCCGTAAATTTAATGGGCGTTGATAGTCCATTCAATTCATTCACCATCCCATGTGCTTCAATGGATGTTCCACGCCAGAGTATTAACAAATCATCTATATAGCGATAATAGCTAATGATGTTGTCCCGATAAGGCATAAGGATATGTTGAGTCTCATACATATACATGAACGCATTGGCATACATGGGGGCCATAGAAGACCCCATCGATGTGCCTGCCACCTGTAAATACCACTGGTTTTCAAACCTGAAGTGATTATTATAAAGGATCAACGCCATTGATGCTATGCGACAGGTATTAAGTGAATCCCCGTTGTATCGGGGCCCACCTGTTGAATTGTTTTGGAATTATTGGCGTTGATCCTTTATAATAATCACTTCAGGTTTGAAAACCAGTGGTATTTACAGGTGGCAGGCACATCGATGGGGTCTTCTATGGCCCCCATGTATGCCAATGCGTTCATGTATATGTATGAGACTCAACATATCCTTATGCCTTATCGGGACAACATCATTAGCTATTATCGCTATATAGATGATTTGTTAATACTCTGGCGTGGAACATCCATTGAAGCACATGGGATGGTGAATGAATGGACTATCAACGCCCATTAAATTTACGGCCAATATCAGTGATGAGAAGGTCCAATTTTTAGACTTGGAGTTGTCTTATGAATCCAATAAAATACAATATACGCTGTACACGAAACCCACAGACCGTAACACTTTGCTGCATGCACGTAGTGCTCATCCTACTACGTTGAAAAATTCTATTCCAAAGGCACAGTTCCAAAGAGTAATTCGTAATAATTCAAACCAAGATAAAGCGGAGACACAGTTGATAACCATGACCCACAAATTTCTTGAACGGGGATATGAAACTAGAATATTGGAAGATGCACTGACAAAGGCTAAGGCAGTTTCAGTACAACCTAGGAAGGATCTTACTCAGAGGATAATGTTTCCTATGACTTTCCACAATTCCTCGAATTTGGTATCAACAGTGATTAAAGACAATTGGAAGATGCTTGCAACGGATGACACGTTGCCAAAAGTGTTCAAGGAACCTCCGTTGATATGTTACAAAAGGAACAAGAGCCTGAAAGACTTGCTGGTGCATACAGATCCAGTTGCAAGTTATTCGAAAGATATGAAACAAAATATACGAGGGTGTATTCGGTGCCTGGGGTGTGTAACTTGTGGACACATGATACCGGCAAAAAAATTCAGCCACCCACACACTAATAAAGTCTATGATATTAGACACACTATCACTTGCAAAACAATGTTTGTGGTATATAAATTGATGTGCCCGTGTGGATTGTATTACGTGGGCAAGACGGAGACACAACTCTGCGAACGAATTAGAGGCCACCGTTCGAGTATTAGATTGGCGTACAGGGACGGACATTCGGACAAACCGGTGGCTCAACATTTTTTGGATAAAAATCATTCATTGACATGCCTTAAATTTGTGGGTATAGACCATATCCCTCTTCCTCGTAGAGGTGGCAATAGGAGTAAAATGCTCCTTCAAAGGGAAGCGTTTTGGATATATCAATTAAATACAGTATCTCCCATGGGACTTAATGAAAATATTCCGTACAATGCCTTTATTTGAAATATAGCTTGTTACCAATTTTTGTTTTTAATATTATAAGCATTATATATAGTTGGTGTTTAGTATTAGAACATAAGATGAATTAATTTTAATTTTTTTCTAATTTTTTTCTAAGTTTTTTCTTATTTTTAGTATGTGTCATATGCTATTAGTCCTTTTAAATAATATTGATGTATTGGGTATACTATGCACTTGAGGGCATTTAGCACTTTATTATATGATAGCATATTATAATGCACTTTACACTCATGTCACTTTAATCATGTTATTTAATACTAACTATGCACTTTCAAGTTTATACATCGCCAGTGTCATAATTATACATTGGCTATGTGGGTGTTTATATACCCCCTTCTTAATAATGTTTAATCATTCACATGTCCATAACATCTTTCACTTGTACACTTTTTATAACCACGATCTTTTTAACCAGCATTCAGTTGCCACGGTGTTGAGATGTTCGTGTATATGTTTCCATGGTGATTGGACGTATTACGTCAGCACGTGGGGTGGGAGGAGTAAGCGTGCGGGTGCGCGCGCATACCCGGAAGTCCGGCGATCCCGGTGGTGATGGCAGTAGCACACCTGGGTGAGTTTTAATTTTAATTATATAGGTATATATTTAGGATTTGTATTTATGGCATTTGTTATTCTGTTTTTTGGACCCTGAGGAAAGTCCCGAGCTGGGACTGAAACGTTGGTCATTGCTTTTATTATGATTTAATAAAAACTTCTTTTTTAAAACCGGAGAGCAGCCGTTGCCACTTTGGAGTCTATATATATATATATATATATATATATATATATCATTTTTAAAATTATTTTTATTTATATATAGGTATATGTATAGTGATATATACATATATACTTATGTATATATATATATCCTATTTTGTTCTAGGTGTATTTTGATATCTATATCTATATATATATATATATATATTCATTTTAAAATACAGTTAGAATGAAATTACACATATATATTTATTTATTATTTAATTTTTTAACGTATTTACATATTTTTTTAATATTATATAAAAATATATATTTAATGATAAATATATATATTTAATCAATATCATTCTACTTGTATTTTGATATTAATGTATATATAACTATATATATATATATTAATATTAAAATACACTTAGACAGTGTATGTGTATGTATGTGTATATATATAAATATATATACTTAGATCATAAATAAATATATGATCTAAGTATATATAATTTAATTTTAAACTGTTTTAAACTGTTTTTTTTTTGTTTTTTTTACAGGCAGCAGGGTGAGTTATAGGCATTACAGGCACTCCCCCTGCTGGCATTGCTGCGGACGGCTATGCCGTCCATGTGATCGTGAGGTCCTCCCAAGGACCTCCCGATCACGTGGCCCAAGAGGGCCGGAACGGGAGCAGGAGGACTCCCTGGGATGCCAGGTAAGTCCCCCCCACCGCGATGGCCGGGTAAGTGAATAAGACGGTGGGGACGTGCTATGCCGCCCCCCCGGCATTTAGAGCCGGGTCCCGAGGACCGCTGTCTTTAAGGGGTTAAGCCAAAGTTCTTTTGGTGACTATAGCGTATCTTTAAATAGACATAAGTGTGTGGTGGTAGGTTGGGAAACAATTATAAATATGTGTGTTTTCAGCCCACAAGTTATTAGACTTCTGTTACTTTAAATTTAGGATGAATGCAGGCTTGGCATAATAATGTAATCATGCACTCTGCCTAGTAAATGCTCATGCATACAGCGTTTACCGAACGCCGGGATGCCACATCAAACAGAGGAGATTTGGCGTTGGCTGATGGAAGAGGAGCGGCATGGTGAGGGCCAAGCAGAGGTTATAACATTGGAGATAGCCATCCACATGTACATCATTCAGAAGACAGACGGTGCTGTGAAAACGGATCCCAGAGACTACTGTATATTAGAAGATTGGGGAATAATTGCGTTTTTTCCTCCCTGCCAGTCCTCTCCTGTTTTGGACAATAATTTCTACTGGGAATGCATTTTGGACATTTTCTATGTATTTGTTAGCCAACAACTGAATTGCTCATGATTTACTTTTCACTTTCAGAGCATATCTCTAAATGTGTCTTTGAACTGCCTTTAAAAAATAAATACTAAAATTTAGCAAATACTAAAATTTCAATAATTTTCTTATGGGTTTTTCACAGTAGTAGTAGAATATTGAGAGCTCAATTCAAGCGTCACCATTTGGAACGAGGTGTATTATTCTAAATAATTGAGTTTTGCTTTCATTGTGTAGTTCTCCCTTGTGTACTATAGATGGGTTAATATAAAATGTAGACTCTTTAGAGAAATCCAATACTCCTGGAGATAGACACTTACGCTGTGTGCCAGGTGACCTGCGTAGTGTTTAAGTTCCTCCAGATGCTGCAGCTTCAGATGACATTGGGACAGGAGTGTGATCAGTGCCAAATTTTGTGCTCGTTCTGCCTCTTCATGGTTAGTTTGTTGTTCACTAGATTCTACTGACTTGGATTCACTTTCATCAGAGCTGGAGCTGGTGTCATTGTTGCATTCAGAGTCATTTTTGTTGCCTGCAGCCTGACTTGTGTTATATTGCAGTTTCAGGTCAAGAAGTTGAAGATTTCGCAATGTTTTTTCCAGCGGGAAGTAAAGTCTGGGATTGTTTTTTGCTAGGCTCTTATTGTCATCTGCCTGTTCACTCTCTAAAATTGATGGAGTCAAAATATTCTCTTGTTTACATGAATCTCCCCCACCTCCTGTCCAGTATGTAGCTGTTTCTTCATTGCACATTTTTGTTTCTTTTGCTGTGGTATAATTGTTGTCGGGAAGATTTTCCACCCATTCTGGTGGCCATCCGGGGATATTAGTGAGAGATGTCCTATCTAGACTAAGATTTTCAGTCATAATTTCTTCTACTGATATTTCTAGGGGTCTATCTAAAGCATTTGAGATTTGGGGAAGATCAGGGTTCACATCACTGTCACGTTTGTCTTCTGTTAATTCCATTTGGGGTTCTTGGCAGGTCATAAGATCAATTGGGTAATATTCATCCGGACAATTATTATCTTCTTCAGATTGATTTTCCATATTTACAGAAGGTATATCTAGGTTATCCATGCTTTATTTACAGCTATTAAGAAGATGTGAAAACTGCATAGATTGATATGTATTTCATGAAGTTGACGTGATCTAAGAATGACATGGGAAATTGATTGAATAATAATTATTTTGTAAAGCATCAATATATTCTACAGCACTTTAAAAATGTACTATTACAGGAAACAACAGGTTATTAATTTGAATTAGTTTACCCAACAACTTCTGTAACACCCACCTCCTGTTCGCCCGCACTATTCCTCTGTTCTGTGGAAATTTGGCCTGCTTGGGACTTTTCCCCGAAGAGGGCAAACCATCTCCATGCAATTGACATTCTGGTTCTGTTCCAGCATGCCAACATCTGAATGGAGCGATGGCTACGGAGTTACCATAGCAACCACAGCGCATGCACTGTGATTGCTATGGGTGGAGAGCAGAGGGTTTCGTCTGATCTCCCTTTCTCTTAATTCCTCAGCATTCAGTGTCTGTAGAGGAATCGATAGATTTTTAAATAGTTTTTTTCTCCAAATGTATATATCTGCTAGTAAAACTGCTAGCACAATGTATAGATAACATTGTAAGCTCTTTTAAAAGAGCTACATCTGTTTTTTCCAGGACAGGTTCCCTTTAAAAGAGGAGATGTATATAAACACATGAGGAAAACAAAGTGGGAGATAAGATCAAACGATTGCGTGAGGAAAGCAGTATGGCTGGAAGATGAGAGAATGAAGTGGACAGTAGGAGCACAAAATAAAAGATAGGTGGCAGACATCTTTAAGGAATGTAAATTACCCAGAAAGATTATACACTTGCCCAAAATAGAATTGTGCGTAATGATAAATATATAATGGGCATATGTATATAAAGCAATAGGTAGAACATTGTATATTACAATATTGCTTTGTACAACGCCCTGTGAATCATGGATACACTTTGAAAATGGAAGGAGGCAGGGGTCATTTTATTACAGAAACATTTTATTTGCAATGATGGCCAATGAATATATTTAACATTTAAAAACAAAACAAAAGAAAAAACTTTCAGTCCCTTTAAAAAAGCAATGGGTATTTTTATGCAGTGTATTCTTAAATATAAGATTCAGGCGTTTTCTCAGTACAACAAATCTTTTCCTCTCTGCTTCTCTATTCTAATCTCCCTGGCCTTTTCCTCAGTTTTCTACTGAGTGCCCCCCATTTTGCACTCACTCTTTTCCTGTTCTGAAACATTTTGACCGCTTTCAATGTAGGTTGCCAGGGCACTCCCGGCACCATAACCACTACAGCCTCTTGTAGTGGTTAGGGTGCTTGGAGTGTTTCTTTAACCCCTTAAGGACACATGACATGATGTTAAAGATGTTACAATTTTATGGCAAGACAGGAGGCTTCATATTTGCTTAATCTTTCTTTACTGAACCTCCCAGCAGCAAAGAAATAGTTAACAGTAGTGTAAACAATTCAACCAATCAGAGTGTATATCAGTATTATATCACATTACGAAGCTCCTCCCAATCCCTCTTTCTTTGCTGCTTGCCTCCCAGGTGAGTCTATTCCATTTATAGCTTTATGCCTTTAATACTAATCTTGATTACCTTCCTATCTACCATTTATATTATTTGATTATTATTTACTCGTAGTCTCTATTTCATCCTTTCCACATTTGTCAATTTGGTGTTTTTCCTACACATTACATACTCTTTTCCTTGATATTCTCAAATTTGCTAATTACCACAGCGTGTCTCTTTAAATCACGGACTTTTCCGCGATTTATTTTTTCTCAGGCTATTGATTAGTTTTAACCTGATTTTCCCAGCCGCGGTGTTTCTCCGTTTTAAACACCGCGGCTGGTTTCCACCATTTCTTTTAAATATCTGCCGCGGACTCCAGTTCCCAGGAGTCCGCGGCTCAGTCCTTCGTGCCCTTTTTGGCTCCCCCCCCTTGCCGCGCTTCTTCCCGCCTTCTGCTAGCGGCGGCCATTTTCTGCGCGGCCTCTTCGTTTCTCGGCGCTCTTGCAGCCTCTACCGCCGGATCCGGTAAGTACACCGTTTGTTTATTTATTTTCTAGCACTCTTAAAGTTCCCCTTTACAGTTTTTTAATTTAGTTTATTTTTTTCTCTTTACAGGTTCAATTAAACAATATTCCTGCTATTATTATTAATAAAGTGGCCTTGGTGGGTGACCCCCACCTTATAATTCTATCACTCTGTACTTGAGTATTTATTGTGGGTGACCCCCACCTCTATAACCATTCAGGTGTCCTAACACCGCCATTCAAGGGTGACCCCCCACGTCTAATAATCAGAGTTTAAAGTGATCCAACACTTTTCATATTGAGACACAACCACCTGTCTAATTATTTTAGTGGTGAACCCCACTTACTATTATTACAGTGGTATAACCCACTTGTGTATTTTAGTGGTAACCCCACTATTTATCACTGTGCCGCCCTTTACTCATTTACTGCGCTAATATCTTGGGTGACCCCCAATTTAAAATATTTTACTTATTACTGTTGGGTGATCCCCAATTTAAACAATATTTCTTTAACTTTTGACTATTGGTCAAAATTTTTTCTAAAAAGACAACCATGTCTGATAATACCGAGCCAGCAATTTCACAAGAACTTAGAGCTTGGCTGATCTCTACTATTGCCGAATCTATTCCCAAGGCATTAGCAGCCTTCCAGGATCGGACTTCTACCGAAGTCAACCCTACCACACGCTTGCCTTCTGATTCCGAGGACTCCCAGCCCTCAGATCCAGAAACCACATGCAAGTGCCCCTGGAAAGGGGATAGTAGGTCTGCTGGCAAGGGCAAGGCTCCTGCCAAGTCCCTGAAATTGTCTATCCCTCAATCCGCACACTTAACACCCGATCCCCTAGAGGGCTCTGTATTCCACACGGGCGATAGGGTTGAGGACTATTACCTTGGCTTTTCCGATGAGGACCCCTCGGCGAATGCGCTAGGGGATACCCCATCGGAATTTGTCAAGGAGACCTTCCTTATTTCAAAAGACTCTGATACTAAAGTAACTACGCAGAAGGGAACCGACTCAGACATCCTTTTGGATGCCTCGGGTGTCCCCCTTTTTGATTCCAGAGTCATCAGGCATCCACGATCAGCCGAATGGTCCCCACCGGACCATATCGCTAACTTCTGTAAGATGTGGTTACGCAAACCACTTGATAAAGAAATCAGGGCAAAACTCAGAGCCGAGTGCCCTCGACCAACCATCCCAAATAAGGTAGCTCTCACACCAGAGTTCGACCCATTATTTGTAACCTTCCTCACTAAGACAGGGAAGGATCCCCGCAAGGGAATTGAACAGGGCCTCAAGACAGCCCAAGATAAACTTCTAGACATATCTGGTCCAATTGTCCAAATCTTCATTCTGGCAGACGAAGCCATAACCAGTGGGGAGTTTGACCCCAATACAGTTAGAGAATGGGCCCAGAGAGCCTTATGTCTCCTGGGTAACGCAAATGTGGCTATATCCACTGAGAGGCGCAGGGCGGCACTATACAAGCTAGATGCTAAACTAGCCGATCTGAGCTCCCGAGAACTGGGACCAGAGGCCAATGGTTTGTTATTTGGAGACTCCTTTATGAAGGATCTCTCCAAACATGTAGCTGTATTTACTACACTCAATAAGGCCCAATCATCCCTACGCAGGGTTTTTCGTTCCCAGTTAACTCGTTTTTCTGGGAGAGCTGGACGTTTTAGAGGCCGAACGAACAGCAGAGCTGCCTTCACAGGCTACAGGCCTCGCCCAACAGAGAGCTATTGGCAATCGGGACAACCCCGACCCTATCACAGGCAGTTATTCACAAACAGAGGATCTATCCGGGGACGTGGTTCTGCCTCCCTTCGCGGACGAACTGCTCAAGGTAATCAATCTTCCTTCAATTTAAAAGACCTGAATCGCTTTGTCAGGTACCGTCATTTCAAGATGGAAGGCATCCATCTTCTCAGGGACCTCCTTTGCGTGGGAGATTGGTTCTCCAGATTCGATCTCAAAGATGCATATCTCACAGTCTCTATTGCTCGCAACCTTTGAGCTTTCCTCCAATTTCCCTGACAGGACGAACTCTGGCAATTCACATGCCTCCCGTTCGGCCTTTGTTCCGCACCATGGTGTTTCACCAAACTGATGAAACTGATTCGGTCCATCATATATTTGGACGACATCCTGATAATGGCTCAAGATTCAGACCTCTTGCACAAACACACGGACATGACAACAGCCTTGCTTCAAAACCTAGGGTTTGTGATCAATTTTCAGAAATCGGCCCTCGAACCTTCTCAAAAGATTTCTAATAGATTCCGTACAGGCGATCCTACAACTCCCCACCACAAAGGTAAAATCTATAAAGAAAGAGATTCGCAAACTACTGTCAGCCCACCAGATTCGCCTACGCGATCTGGCCCATACCATAGGCCTTTTGTCCGCCTCTATCCAGACCATTTACCCAGGACCCTTACACTGCCGAGCCATGCAACGGCTCAAAACACACTATCTACACCGATCCACTTCCTACGATCAGTACATTTCCCTGACAGACGAAGTTCGGATAGAACTTCACTGGTGGCTTCACAACATGGAAGCCTGGAATGGCAAAGCCATTTTCGGATCGCAACCGGATTTCATTCTGGAATCCGATGCCAGTCTTCTGGGATGGGGCACCACGTGCGCCGACAAGTCCACCGGGGGGCTATGGTCCCCCTCGGAATGAGCTCTGCACATCAATTGCCTAGAATTGATTGCAGGATCTTTTGCGATTCGCAGTTTCGCAAAGGATTGTTTCAACTGTTCACTAGTACTGCGCATGGACAACATCTCTGCAGTGCGCTATGTGAATCGGCTAGGAGGTTCCCGGTCCAAATTCTTATCAGACCTTACCAAGGAACTCTATCAGTTCTGCCTAGAATGGAATTTATCCATCAAGGTGGAATACCTTCCGGGCATGGACAACTTAGTCGCAGACTGGTTCTCTCGCCATTGGAGAGATGTGAGCGATTGGCAATTGGATCCCCGCTTGTTCTATCAAATTCTTTGCCTTCGCGGGCCCCTCACTCTGGACTTGTTCGCATCGCGACTAAATCGCCAGACCGAAGCCTTTATCAGCTGTCTTCCAGATCCCCTATCCTGGGCAGTCGATGCCTTCCTACACCCTTGGCCGGAGACAGGAGCCTATGCGTTCCCGCCCTTCTCCATGATCCAACGCACCCTTTACCGGGTCAAAGCACTAGTAGTGACAATAGTCATTGTCACCCCGTTATGGAGAGCCCAGACCTGGTTCCCGACCTTATTAGAAATGTCAACGAATTTCCCAATCCTATTACCCCGGTTCCCCGACATCCTCAAGAATCCAGCAGGGCATTGTCACCCTCTCGCCCTTCAAGGACGGCTCCAACTTGTAGCCTGGACCTTTTCAGGGGATCCTGGAATGTCTCAGGACTTTCGGAAACGGCTCAGGCGCTCCTATGGGACTCTTGGGCCCCAGGCACTAGACGAGCTTATCTCGCTGCATGGCGAGCATGGGTCAGCTGGTGTCTGGAAAGGGACACCGATCCCTTTTCAGCTCCTTTGACGATAATCCTTAATTTCCTGTCTACCTTATTCGATCAAGGCAAGTCCTATAGATCGATTAATGTCTTTAGATCAGCCATATCCGCGGCTCACAATCCTATTGACAACGCATCAATAGGAAAACACCCCTCAGTTTGTAGACTGTTACGTGGGATCAGGCTAGCCAGACCGCCTCTGCCTAAATACTCCAACTTCTGGGATGTTGCTCAGGTTTTTTCCCTCTTAGAATCTTGGCCCTCTAATGAGAACTTGACGTTACGTCAACTCTCTGCCAAACTAGCCCTACTCCTATGTCTAGTATCCTTCCGTAGGGTCTCCGACATTAGAGCATTCGATTTCCACGCTATAGTTTTCTCACCGGAAGGCGTTACATTTCGCATCACTAGGCGAACTAAGACTAACTCTACCACTGTATTCTACCCCTATTTTCCCAATAGACAGTCACTCTGTGTGGCGCTCTGCTTAAGGCACTATATAGCTGCCACAACCGCTCTACGTTCCCCTACGGGACCCCTTCTCGTGTCCTATGTCAAACCACACAAACCGGTGTCCGCTCCCACAGTCGCACGGTGGATCAGATGGATACTAACCCAAGCTAACATCGACCCCTCCTTTGGTGCGCACTCAGTCAGAGGAGCAGCCGCATCCTCAGCCTTTCGTGCAGGTAGCTCTCTCTCAGACGTCTTATCGTCGGCAGACTGGTCCAGGGAATCCACCTTTCGGACATTCTATTTCAAACCTTGGCCACACGCTGCATCTTCCATTATACAGGAGCGTTAAAACAGCAAATATGAAGCCTCCTGTCTTGCCATAAAATTAGGGATTATTCTAGCCCTAGTGACTGAATAATCTAAATTTTATTAACGACAGGAGGCGAATATTTTCCCACCCTCGTCGCCTGTACCAGGTCGACCCACCCTGAGGTAAGTTACTATCTCCTCCTACTCGAGATGTCTCACACACACTCACTCTTTATCTGTCAGCTGTCAGGTTTACATTTCATTACTCTAACCGGTAATCTCATATACCTCACATCATTTCCATGAAGTACATTGAAACTATCGGTCACTCCCTACTATACGTGCTTTAAACTTGCACTCACCTAGTATGAGAACCTATACTCTCACGATTTCTCTTTTTTCTCTTTTAGTGTGAAGAATCTTAACGCTTTTTGTCACATATGGATTCATCAACCCATTCAAGGTTTACATGGTTGACTACATCGGAACCACAACTTAGTCCACAGTTCCAGCTTCCAGTTACAGTTCCAGTTTACATGGTTGATACTCAATACTGTCGGCTACAGCAAGAGAGAGGAATTGGGAGGAGCTTCATAATGTGATATAATACTGATATACACTCTGATTGGTTGAATTGTTTACACTACTGTTAACTATTTCTTTGCTGCTGGGAGGTTCAGTAAAGAAAGATTAAGCAAATATTCGCCTCCTGTCGTTAATAAAATTTAGATTATTCAGTCACTAGGGCTAGAATAATCCCTAATTTTGTAGAGGAGTATTTTTAGTTTTACATCAGATTACAATATGGTATCCAGTGCCTTGTATGATTACTTGTTTTCAAACGGATATATGTTAAAGTGGGGGTATAATATCTGATATTTCCAGTTGCTAACTAAAATGAACATGAACAATTGAAGCCATTTCCTGGAAATGTACATATGAATTTGCAATTTGGTAATAGGTGAAGACTGAATTATGACAATTTCAGGACTAATTTGGAGCATCAATTTTCAATTAGAGAACATGTAGCCGGATAACATTTGCTACAAGTTAAAAAAAAAAAAGACAGTGTTATAAAAAAATGCCATCTTGAGACTAGTTATTTTCAATTATCTAGTTTGTAGGTGACTGGAATTCTACCATTCTGGACGCAAATCTGCAACTCCCTAGCCAATTCTCTGTTATTACCAATTTAATGAATGTGGCCATGTTAGATCTAATCTATCTCTTATTTTTGAAGCAACAGATGTACTGTGAATTATTTCTTTGATACCCGAGTAATCACCAACCTAATCACATCAAACATTTCTGTTTCTACCATACTGGCTTTAATTTCTAATTTCCTACTGAATTCAGCTAGAAAACGTATATATTTATAACCTACCTGTGTTATTGATTTCGAGCGGAAAGCAGCAGCCATTTCCTGAGCAGCAAAGCAAATGAATTGAACTACAACCTGTTTAATAGGACAAGCGATCCAGTTACACTTTCAAGCTCCTGTAAACAGATATGTACACTTCAATCCAGAAACCGTTAACCCTTACCAAGCTTCTTTTGAGATTTTGTCACATGTTAGGTCTTTATGTCAATCTTTACTATGAATAAAGAGTTGATTATTGTGTGACGGCAAAGCTATCACACAGGGTTACATCAGGAATTTGCAGAAAGATGTACAGCTTTCAGATGGAATAAAACAACCAGAAACACAATAGGAGAATAGATGGCAATCAAATAAGGTGGGAGTGAAGCAGAGCTAGAGGAGAGAGTAAAGTGCTGCACTTTAGGAGAGAGCTAGGGACGGGTATGTGAGGTAGAGGTTACTCTGGGAGGCCTGACAATTTCCTGAAGAGATGGATTCTAAGGCACTTTTTAAATGATTGAACACTAGGGGATTGTCTGATGGTGGTAGGCAGGCTATTTTAAAGGGAAGCAGCCGCCCGCGAGAAGTCCTGCAAGTGTGAGTTGGCCTTACGGAAGTGAGCAGCGGACAGGTGAAGTTCATGGGCCGAGCGGAGAGACCGAGAAGGGGAATATCTATGGATCTGTGAAGAGATATAAGAGGGGCTAGAATTGTTCAATGCTTTACAGGTATGGATTAGTACTTTGAATTGACTCCTATAGGATACAGGAAGCAAATGTAAGGACTGACAGAGGGGTGAGGTGTGAGAGGACTGACTGGAAAGGAAAATCAGTCTGGCGGCTGCATTCATTACAGACTGTAGAGGGGCAATATGGCTTCTGGGAAGACCAAGTAGGAGAGAATTTCAATAGCCAATGCGTGAGATTACTAGAGCATTAACAAGCTCCTTAGTAGCATCTTGCGTAAGAAAGAGGCGGACACGGGTAATGTTTTTAAGGAGGAATCGACAGGATTTGGTAATAGACTGGACGTGAGGCCAGAATCATATATAACACCAAGACAGTGTGCTTGCAAGGATGGGCTGACGCAGGTACCATCAATTTGAAGGGAGATTAAAGAGGAGGGTCAGTATTAGGTGGAAAGACAAGAAACTCAGTTTTAGAGAGATTGAGTTTCTGAAAGTGGGAGGGCATTCAATCATTTATTTCAGTTTGCTGGTGATTTTAAGGGAACACTGTTTAAGAGGTTTGCCTATTCTCATATTTTTTTCACATGTTACATATATTGTGTATTTTTTTTCATTTCCCTGCTTGAATTGTTACCAATTGTAAAGGAAATTTTAGTCTGGGGTCTAGAGCTTCAAAATAAAAGGATTCTGTCACACCTCTAGTGGCAGTCACTCAGCCGGCCACTAGAGGTGCTTCCTATCTCAGTGCTGCACACTGAGCAGTATTTACATTTAGCGTCTCCATGCTCTGTGCATCTCTAGGAGGAAATGCTTATTGGCTCAGTGCCGCATTTTGCAGCTAATGCATATTATGGAAAAGCATGCTCTCCTATGGGAAAGCATTGTATTGGTTTAGATTATTAAGACTGGATGGACAGGAGGAACCAGCCATGGGAAGACCGGTGAGAGCATGGGAAAAAAGGTGAGTAAAACAAATAGTTTAACACTATAGTGTCAGGATTACAAGCTTGTATTTCTGACACTAGAGTGTTCCTTCAACTCAATGCATTACAAATATTCTTTTATAAATTTGTAGCAAAATCTGGTATTTTATGTTTGAAGTATAATTTTTGGCTAAAGACTGTGCATAATGCTGATTTTGAGTATAGGATAGCTAATGCTATTTGTTGTTTTCAGCTCAGCACTTTCAGAAATTTGGTAACGAATGCTGAGGAATCAAGCATGGACTTGACAGAATGCCTTTGGCAATTAATCTTGGAAGAGCTGGTGCAAATTCTTGCGAAAGCCCTTGCACAAGGCATCTGCAGTGCTTATGTTTCAGCATAGGATAAGGGGTACAAACTCAGTTAATCTATGTTGACCCAGTGGGTGGTAATATGGATACTGCATTTTCTTATGTGATTAAATGTCTTAACAATGGTTTATCAGAGAAAAAGCTATCACCAGACGCTTAGAAGGTGTAATGTACTTTTTAAGTTTGTTAGGAAAAAAGATAGTTAATGTGTTTATAGTTAAGTGCTGAATGGTTATTTTAAAAGCCTTAAAGTTTCTGATGTGAGGTGTTAGAATTGAGGATAACAGACAACATTCAAGACTTAAAACAAATCTCCTAAGTTTTTTTTTGTTTTCAGCAGCCTTAACTTTAGCTTTAGAAAAAGCAAATGGAGAGAAACCCCCCTAGAGGTGGGAATGCCACATGAAATTACCCTAAAATGTAAGTATTCAAAAATAAGGGTAACAAAAAATATTAAAAAAAGAAAAGAAAATGGGAAAATATATATTGAAAAAGTGAAAAAAAATTGAAAAAAGAAAAAACCACAAAACACTATTATGAAAATTAAGTAATCTAATTTATCTTTAGCTTTCTTTGCAACATTTAGAATCAGTGATGGCAGTTTTTGGATGGCTTTGTTAGGAATGCTTAGATTGAGATATGGTTTCAGTCTTCAAAAAACTGATCAGATGGAGAAAGGTAGATGAACTCCAGGGATAAGGGGCAGTTGGCATTTATCCCCAGTGGCAGCTATTTGCTTCTAGAGAGGCAGAGGTCAGCTGGGTGAGTGTTGCTCTTGCCTGGGCAATTTGCTTGGAGAACCAATTTGGTACTGGCCTTGGTGGGCTGAATGTACTGGCTAATTTGGGAGTCAACTCCTGTGTTAGTCTCCTTCCAAAGGAAGAGAAAAAATATAAAGGGGTTTAGTACTCAGCCTGAGTATCCCAGTTAATATCCCTTCTTTTCTCTTTTAATAAATCTTTTTTATTGAGTAATTGCATTTGCGAAGACAAGAAATTATAGGCACGCAGGCCGCAATATATGCAAGCATATCAAAAATGCAAATGTATACAGAAGTTCAGTTACTGTGTTAACTCTCTGATAGTTGCCAATGTGCGGTCCAGAACCACCAGATAATGGAAAATAGTATAGTTTCGTGATATGCAGAGCGATCCCCAGCAATTAGCTGCTACCTGAGTTTTCTCTTAGTATAGTAAGTGAGCCAGTGCTATGTGGGAAGTTCAATCCTTTCCTTCACTTATGATGAAAATAAGGCATGCTAGAAAGGACAGCATAAAGAAAGAGTGTATAAGTAGATAAAGAGAAAATAAACAAGAAGGATTCCCGTACCTGGGCGATCAAGCACCCCCACGTCTCCTGTCTGTTCAAGCATCACAGATCATGCACCATATAAACAAACCATGGTTGCCAGGCCTCAGTGTGTGTGGAACCCGTCCCTAGCAGAGAAGCATGTAGCGACTCAGCCGCCGGTATATCCTCAATCCTGCGTAACCAGGCCTTCTTTTTTTAAAAAAAAGCCGCATTAAGTAGATTTCTTGTAGACCAAAATAGGTTTTGAAGACATATGTAGCAGAGCGAGCTCCTCCGACCACTCAACCGAATCCCCGAATCATCTCGTCCCAAAAGGGGGCAATTTCCAGACATTCCCACCATATATGCCACATCGTGCCTCTATCAGCCTGGCATCTCCAGCAAGTGGGCTTGCCCACTAGGAAATATCCTGTGGAGGATGGTTGGCGTCCTGTACCATAATTATATTAATTTATAGCATCTTGTCCCATTGTGTAGCCGAAAAGGATTTACCTATTTGTTCTTCCCACTGTCTTTGGATCGTATTGTTCACAGGACTATTTCCAATCAGGAGGTGTTGATAAAGCATCGAAACTGCTTTCTCAATCACTGAGCACCGCGAGCAAAGCACCTCAAGCCACATGAGGCTCCAATGTAGCTTATCCCTCCATAGAATTCCTACTTCACTTGACACTGCTGTTAGGGGGTATAGATTTTGTGTTATCATTCCCTTCAGGCTCTTTGCAGTGAACACTGTATTTTCAGAGAAAAAGCAGGGTTTACATTACAACCTAGGGATATCTCCATTGGCCACTCCTCGTGTGGCTGCAAGAGGTGCTTCCTGGGGTAGTGCTGCACAGTGAGCAGCGCTGCCATTCAGAGTCTCCACCCTCTGCATGCAGACACTGAACTTTACTCATAGAGATGATTCAATGATGACTTGTCCTTATTTGCCTCCTTGACATGTTCAGCCAATCCTATGGGAAAGTATTGTTTTTGGCTCAGAGAATCACTTCTGATGAGGTCACCCAAGCATGCAGATTAGGGTCAGAGTCAGCAGCTGCAGACTTGAATAAAAGTAAGATTTTTCTATATTTAACAAAGCAAGATGGTGGGTTTTAACACTATATAGTTAGGAATACATTTGTGTTCCTGATCCTTTAAGACTTCAAAGACCTATGCAGAGTGTTAGTTAAAGTGACTCTCCAGTGCCAGGAAAACCGTTTTCCTGGCACTGCAGATCCCTTCTCCCTCCCACCCCCCATCCCAAGTTGCTCAAGGGGTTAAAATCCCTTCAGTGACTTGCCTGTATCTGGCACCGATGTCCCTCGGCGCTGGTTCAGGGTCCGCCCACGCTCCTCCCCGCCGAGATCATCCGACGGTGGAGACCGATTGCGTATGCGGCATTAGACCTCCCCATAGGAAAGAATTTAAAAATGCTTTCAAATGGGGATTGCAGCGACGCTGGAGGTCCTCACATAGCACACGAAATGTGTGCTATAAACCTGGAAGTGCCCTCTAGTGGCTGTCTAATAGACAGCCACTAGAGGAGGAGCTAACCCTGCAAGGTAAATATTTCACTTTATGAAAACTGCAATATTTACAGTTGCAGGGTTAAGGGTAGTGGGAGTTGGCACCCAGACCACTCCAATGGGTAGAAGTGGTCTGGGTGCCTGGAGTGTCCCTTTAAGGAAACTAGTTCTGATAACATTGTAGTATTAACTCCATCGTTAGTAGCTGTCTTCCTGACAGTCATGGCATATTTCCTTGTTCCCAGCAGTTTTACTCTGTGAAATTGACATCGAACATCTTCATATACCCCATAGGAAAGCACAGATTCAATGCTTTCCTATAGGGAAATTTTTAAAGGAAAGTCACCTCAAATTATACTTTCATCAAGTTTTGAAACAAAAATATTTTGTTAAATGAAAACCAATGAGAAAACCTCACCCTCAGTATATGACTGGATCCTTCACCTATATGCATGTATCTTGGGTCAGACAGTGTTTGAAAACCTCTATATTGTCTGTACTTCACTCGATGCAGAGCAGAGACATCAGCCAGACTGTCCAATTCAAACATTGTATGACCCAGGGTATATGTACATGGCTAAATTCCTGTCGTACACTTAAGTTAACAAATAATTACCAGTTTAAAAATTTGTGTTGAACAGTTTAATGTGCACCTGTCCCACCATCACCGTGCATTGGCGCATGTAATGTAATTGTCAGATGACGGGCAGGGATTATTTAAGCTAGGAACAGGGATACTATAGCAGTGGGAATACAGCTTGTATGTGGAGGATCCCACAGACCTCAATTCTATTCTCTTGGACATGAAGCACAGCAGTGCAAGAAAGATGGTGGCACTTGCGAGGGACAGGTTCAGTTTAGAACAGGTTAACCCCCCCACCAATGGTGGGCTTTGTGAGTTTGGCAAATGCCACAGACTGACAGTGCCTCTTTAGCCCAGTTTAAAGTTGTATTTATTGCTATAGTGTACCTTTAAAAAAGGACACTCCAGTAACAGGAAAACCATCCATTTTCCTGGCACTGCAGGTCCCAAAACCCCTTCAGTGACTTACCAGAGGCAGGGATGATGTCCCTTTCTGCTGCTTCTTGGTCCGCACACACTCCTCCCCATTCCAACATCATCCAGCGGAGGAGACAGATCCTGCCCACAGAGACCTAATTTGCAGCAATGCCGCACACGCGCATTAGACCTCTCCATAGGAAAGCATTAAAATGCTTTCCTATGGGGATTTTAGCAACGCTGGAGGTCCTCACACAGTGTGAGGATGTCTAGCGACGCTACAGCACAGAAAACCTGTGCTATGAATCAGGAAGTGCCCTCTAGTGGCTGTCTAGTTGAGGAGTTAACCATGCAAGGTAATTATTGCAGTTTATAAAAACTGCAATAATTACAGTTGCAGGGTTAAGGGTAGTGGGAGTTGGCACCCAGACCACTCCAATGGGCAGAAATGGTCTGGGTGCCTGGAGTGTCCCTAAGTTATTTTACCATCATCTTTCCACTTTTATGATTTTCTATCGTCATCCACTTACATGCACAATATGCAAGTAGGGTAGACACTTCACGTGTTTACCATACACACCCTGCTACCCAGCATTATGTCATGCATATGTAGCAAAATAAATAAAATTCCCACATGTGCAAAAGTAAAATGCTATGAAAATGCAGTGTTTACATTACTGCCTAGGAATGCATCCACTACTCCTTTAGATGGCTACTAGAGATGCTTCCTGGGGCAGTGCTGCACAATGTGATGTCAACCAAGTAGGCAGAGTCAGCAGCTGTAGACTTGAATAAATTTTTTTGCTACATTTAGAGGGCCAGATGGTGATTCAACACTACAGGGTCAGGAATACGTTTGTGTTCCTGACCCCATTGTGTTCCTTTAAAATCCCAATATATTGTGGGAATTTCATAAAGAAATACACAGGACGACACAGATTAGTATTAAATGATAAAATACTAGTGTGAAGCTGTATTTCCATCATCAAATGTAAAGAAAACAAGTTACTGCCAGCTTTCATCTTAGCCACCAAGTACATGTGCTATGCAGCCAAGGGTGCAAGGAGCTCAGTTTCTAGTTTCCCCTGTCGCTTTATAATGCAGATTGGAAATATATTTACTCAGATTGATAAATTGGACTTCATAGTTTGACAAGACTTGCATTCTACACGACTGAGAAATGAATTGGGAAAACACAGAAAAAATTTAGGCAAACTCCCCTTCCTCCTCCAGCTTTATTGATAGTTTAAAATTACATTTCTATGTTCTAGGACTTCAGTTTCTTTAACCATCTGACTTTAAAAACTGATTACAAGCAAATGAAACTCAAACGGTTGTCTAAATTGATATAGTATACAAAAATAACATCTCGATTTTATTGAAAACATTTCTCTGACATTCCTGAATAGCTTAGACTTCTCATTTGCTAAATTAACTGATACACGTCCTGGGTTTCTCTCATTCCCATGAAAACAAAAACCAAAAGAATAAAATAAAAATAAACCTTGCTTTCACCTGTATCTCCAATGCTAACTCAGTGGCCAAATTGCTGCATATGGTTTAATCTGCCTGTTTTAGACACGGCCACTAGCTGACTGTGACGTGTTTCCACCCACGCTGTAGACAGGGGCCTGATACAGAGGTAACAGCTGAGGTCGGACATTGAGACCATCAAACTTGAATGGCGGGATTTTTCAGACACATCAGTAGCCCTTTCCCACTAGCACAGGCACTGTTGAAATACCTGTAAAGTATTACTGTCTGACTCAACTCTTCCCATTCATTAAATCCCAATTCACCAGCGGCATGGAAAGGGGGATCTTTAACAAAGCATTATACATAACACCTCTACCAAACTAAACAGAAACTTTTTTTGTAGTTAAATGCAGAAAGTCGGTTTTTTCCACCCCTTTCCTCCTTTTACACGTCAAGTAAAGCTCACTGGCCTGGGACTAGCTCTATCTGCCAACCTTTGGCCAGTGAAGAGGATTCAGAGAAAATAATACAACCATCAATCAGAAAAAGGAGGGGCGACAAAGGAAGTTTAAGCTGTAGCTTCAATCGTGCATTCCCGAGCAAGGTGCCCTGACTCCCCACAGCGGTAACAGTTGACTTCACTGGTCTTGCTGCAATTGATGGCTACGTGGCCAGTTTCACCACACCTGAAACATAAAACACTTCAGTTAAAATGCAGCATAGTATGGAAAACAAGTAGCTGTAAGCACGCCTCATACCAACTTACCTGTAGCATTTCACTTTGGTGCAATCTTTCTGAATGTGACCAAACTCTCCACAGGAATAACACTTCTGCTCGTCAGCATGATCACAGTCCCGAGCAAGGTGGCCAGGCTTGCCACAGTTGTAGCAGCATTGCTCTCTCTCCTTCCTTGGCTCCTTGCAATCCTTTGCAATATGCCCACCACGGCCACAGTTATAGCATGCTAACAACAAAAAACAAACATTAACAAAACATTTATAAAAGGAAAAATAGACAATTTACTTGTAGGGGTGCACATTTAATGATAAATATTTACTGTGAACTTTCTCCATTTAGAACAAAACATTACTACAGAAAATTATGATGAGATTTTGATGCAGCCATTTAGAGGACCCACTCGTATATGTGGCAAGAGATGCACATACATACACACTTTTTATCCCCACAACAACTGGGAGTTGACTGACATATTCACCACTCCCCCAGTGAGGAGTTGGGTTGAGCTTCATACAGTCAATCCAGTTTAATTTGGATAAGTGCAACTGTTGTCTCAAGTCAGAATTCACCCCAAGCATCACTTAATTACAAAAGTAATCTTAAATGTTTAGATTAAAGCTGCTCTGTCAACACATCATACATTTTGGGTATTCCATACAGATATACCACGTCATCCAATGGTTAAGTCTGAGGATGACAAAACGCATAGAACTGTTGCATCCGTGACACATGCTTACACCATCTATCATAGATGCAAGAATGTGCACAATCATTAGAGGCAAGAATGTGCATGCCGTATTCAATTTTTTTAGGGTTATGCCTCAAAAACTTGTAAAGCTGTAGGGAAGCATACCTTTATATTGATGTATCTTAGCAGGGTGCAGCTATAAGCCCAAAACAGAAGGTTGACATTTACAACTTAAACACTACAGGGTCAGGAACACTGTTTCCTGACATCAAAATTTACGATTTTTAACCAACCTATAGGAAAGCATCGAATTGGCTGAAATGAGCAGGGGGCGGAGCTAACAGCGGCTTTGCCAATCCGCAACTTCCATAAAGATTAATTGAATCTATGAGGAAAATTCAGCCTCTCCATGCAGAGTGTCGAGATGCTGAACCGTAGTACCCCAAGAAGCACCTCAAGTGGCCATCTGAAGAGTGGCCACTGGAGGTGTCCCTAGGGGGACATGTTAACTGTTTTCTATGAAAACTGTGTTTACAGCAAAAAGCCTACAGGGAATGATTATACTCACCAGAACAACTACATTAAGATGTAGTTCTGGTGAATATAATGTCCCTTTAAGCATTCCTTTAATAACATTTGGGTACTAAAACAGGGTTATGTTTGGAATTGGGTACAAAACAAGGAATGAATTTGTGCCTTGAGGACTGATGATCTAGGGTTTGATCATAAGTTAACACAGGGCTTAAAATGTATGAGCCAGGCCTACTATTTACTTGCCACCTCAAAACTCACAAAGTATTTTGCATGAGTATAACAATAACATGTTTTTGAATGGACCTGCAAGTTCTTTGGATCTCACTAAACTAAAAGCCACTACTTATGTATTGACTTTAGTTTTGTCTATTCCAAAACCCTATGCACATTAAAAGGGACACTCCAGTGCCAGGAAAATAATCTTTTCCTGGCTCTGCGTGTCCCTTCTCCCTCCCACCATCCCCGGTTGCTGAAGGGGTGAAAACCCCTTCAGTCACTTACCTGAGACCCCCGCCGATGGTTTCTGCTCGTCACCGCTCCTCTTCCTTACGTCAGCTGGTGGGCAAGACCGATCCCGCCTGCCACTAGAGCTCTCCATAGGAAAGCATTGAAAAAAATTTTCAGTGCTTTCCTATGGGGAATTGAGCGATGCTGGAGGTCCTCACATAGCATGAGGATGCCCAGCGACGCTCTAGCACAGAAAACCTGTGCTATGGAGCAGGAAGTGCCCTCTAGTGGCTATCTACTAGACAGCCACTAGGGGAGTACTTAACCCTGCAAGGTAATTATTGCAGTTTGTAAAAAACTGCAATAATTACACTGGCAGGGTAAAGGGTAGTGGGAGTTGGCACCCAGACCACTCCAATGGGCAGAATTGGTCTGGGTGCCTACAGTGTCTCTTTAAGTAACTGGATTTCTTTAGTATCACTCCATGACCATTAAAGTGTAAGCTAACCTGTAATGTGAACCAAAACTTTAATCGAATGAAATTGGTTTAGGTGCGTAGATCATGCCTCTGCAATGTTAGTGCTTACTTCTCTGCCATTAAGCAATGAAAAGTGTTACAGCCAAGGGATGTGTGACTAGGGCTGAATAAACAAAGTGTCTGTGAAAATAATAATAAAAAAAGTTTAATTTTCTGATCAGATCTTACAGATCAGTTTTTTTGTTTAAGTTTCGTTTAAAGCAACACTATAGGATCAGGAACACAAACATGTATTCCTGACCCTTTAGTGAAAACCCACCATTTAGGTGACTTGCTACCCCCTTCAGAATGGGTTAACAACACACACCTTATTTGCAGCTCTCCACGGGTCCACCGGCGCTGGCCTAGGCCCTTTGGACACATCAAAATTGCAGATTTCCCCCCCATGAGAAAGCATTGGATTGGCTAATATTGGCGAGCCCAAACACCATTTTGGCCAATTAGCACCTCCTCAGAGATGCATTGAATCAATGCAACTCTATGAGGAAAAATTTGTGTCCCCATTCAGAGCCTGGAAACGCTGAATGGCACGGCTGCCTACTGTGCAGCCCTGAGCCAGGAAGCCCCTCCAGTGGCCATCTGAGGAGTAGTCACTTGGAGGTGTCCCTAGGGGCAACCTAAACACTGCATTTTCTCTGAAAATGCAGTGTTTACATGAAAATGCCTGAACGGAGCTATTATACTCACCAGAACAACTACATTAAGCTGTAGTTCTGGTGACTATAGTGTCCCTTTAAGTTCTGCTCTTAACTAAAGTGAGATTTTGAAGTGTATTTCAAATCTAAGGCCAAAGTAGACAAACTGGAAGCATAGTGGAATTAGAAAATGTTTCCATTTCATTTACTCCCATCTTAAATTTAAAATTCACTTTGAATTCTCCTTTAGTGAATAACTATGCAAGTTAAACACAATGTGCACCAAGAGAAGCTAAATAGAATTGAGCTCTCTTTCAGGCTAAGCGAATATCATGAGAAGTGCAGTTAAGAAAAATCTGGTGTTACAGATGAATGACCTATACAACGCGATATAAATAGAATACTTTTAGGGCACTCCAGTTGCAGCTGTAACGTGACAGCTGCAACCACATTCAGCAACAGAACAAAACACCAACTCTCATGTCTTTCCTTATGGTCCTTAATTACACCAGCGACACTGTCTTGGTGTAATAAAGAACAACAAGGAAAATTACACAAGTGCTTGGTTTCTTTTGTTGTATTGCTAGATAATGTGATAACATGTATGTGTACAAACTTGGAAACACTTTCTGAAATGAAAGGTTCTACTCATTCAGACAGAAGTCAACACCATTGTATTATGTTAAACACTAATTAATACATTCTTCTTTTAAGTTCGAGTAAAGCCATAGAGTTTGCGATTTGTTTAGAGAGCTTTTAGCAAACCATGAAGAGGCTCAAGCAACCCAACAGAATAAGTTAATGGGATGCGTAGTACAGCATGTTGCAGAAGTCCATGCTACAGTTTTGTGAATGGATTTATCATATGCAAGTATGTTGAAGAAGCACATTAGTTTAGTTAGCACAGTGTACAATCGCTTGGAAAGCAGAAAGGAAACAAGCGTTCCCATTAGATGTCTTTTAGTGAAGATTGCACTTACTGCTACAGTGATTTTAATCAATTGCCACATGAATACTGTTCACCTCTTGTATACGTCAGAATTTTCTTAACATCCCCAGTGTATATATTGCAAAGTGCTGCAGAATGTTAAAGCCATATAAATAATGTATAAGAAAATCACTTTTAGTGAAGTGGTCTGGGTGCAGTGTTCTGTCCCCTTAACTCTTTAATGTAAAGCAGTGCTGTTTCTCCAGAAACTGCAATATTTTACATTGCAGGTATAAATCCTTCTCTAATGCTTTCAGTATAACAGCCAACAGAGGTTCTACCGCAGCACAGACTAAGTGTGAATGCCTATACATTCCCATGCAATGTTTCTCTATGAGGAGCTTTGGATGTATCAGTTACAAAGGGGAGGTGGACACTATTGTGTTAAAAACACACAATTCTATTCATAATGCTATAGTGTTTCTCTGAATTTTTAAATTCACTTTGCATTCCTAAAAATTCTTACTTTAGTGAATGAGCCTCTACGAGTCCAGGTTGTGTCTACAGAAAATGTAAACTTGCCCAAAAGTAAAAAAAAACAAACAAACAAAAAAAAACTCTGAGGTAGCCCAAGCTATGCACTTTGTTGGCTATCAAAAGGGCCATGAGAACGAATAATTATTTTGTCAATCTTACAAATCTCACCATCCTCCTGAAGATCACAGTCCTTGGCAAGATGGCCAGATTCTCCGCATCGATAACAGATATCCGGCAGAGATGAAGAAATGAACTGGAAACCTGCTGGAAAATCAAATACGAATTTGAAACATGTACAAAAGCACACCATTCCCAGGTTTCTTAACAGAATAAGACAGTTGTTACCCCTGGATGAATTAAAGCCACCTCTTCCTCTGCCTCTTCCACCACGTCCACGACCCCCTCCAGTTGGGCACTCCCGAGCCCAGTGACCAGAGCGACCACACTTAAAGCACTCGTTGCTGCTCATTTTCAGATTAGTTTTCTGTAAGAAAAAAAAATAAAGTTTGTAGTCATTAAGGACAGAGACCCACACCCAAGTAGCGTACTAATGTGATCGTGTGTTAAAAAGCTGCCTCTATAAACCAGGTGGGAGACAGATATAAGTTTTAAGTGGATACACACCAATTGCATACACACTCAAAGCTATGTGTTAAACATCTTGCATTACACAGCAGTTGTGCCAAAACCAAGTGGAGGCAACACATTCAAGTGATTGATAAGTAGATGTGCATATTTCAAATTCCAATTAGACCGGCTGAATAACTGTGCAGAACATCTTTGCCTAAGGCTGATTTATAAAACGAGACTTTAGTATTTAGAAGCGGAACTGTTGCTTCACTAAAATCAGACAGTTTCTAAAACCAGCTCCCCAGTGAACACCACCGTGTTTAAGCAGCATAGGCTAAAAATTATCTCCAGAACATTTGTGTGTGTGTGGACATTCTATATTACTGTAACCATTTGGCGCAAAAGACATGTTATTCTATAATTGAGAATAACCACGGCTACTTTTGAGCACAAACCTCATTTGGCAAAACGTGTAGTCTTTAACACAGCTTCCACCATTCCTCTAATTACACAGGGTTTGAATATATAAGATTGTTACTTGAGATTCCCAAGACTGCCCACGAACTTAATTCACATTTCACAAGTGGGGAAACAATATTAAAATAATAAGTCTTTGCATAGCCCCTCCATCAGTCAGTAATACTCTGTGTATCCCACTAGTCCGGCTCTCTCTCCCCCTCCCGCCACATGTCTGACTCCTGAAGATGATGTTCCCCGGCCAGCTCGCCGCGCGGTGCCGCCATGTGACGGACATTACTGGCTGCCAGGCTCCCCCCGGCCCCCCGCCCGGCTCCCTCACAGACGGCATGGGGCTCAGAGCCCGCACACGCTGAGGCCCTCGGGTTCAGGCCGAGCCTTTCCCCGCGCTGCCCGAGGCCTCCATACTATCTCTGGCTCTCGCTCCCAGCCCGAGCTTCCCCCTCACCTCCGTGCTGCCCGCGGGCTCAGTGTGACCTCCCCCCGCCGTATCGGAGCCCCCAGCCCGAGCTCTGCGACCCCCATCCTTACCCTGTATCTCTGCCTGCGCCACACGCGGTTTGCACACGGCCCCAAAATGGCCGACGAACAGCTTGTAACCGACCGACCAATCCGATTGCAGAGTTCACAGCCACTGCCTCTCCTCCGACCAATAGGAAGCGCTAAACTAGCCGCCACGCCCCTTTCGCAGGCTGTCCATTAGACCAAACCACCTGACACTAACGAGTAGGGGTGAGCAATCCAGTAAATCGGAGATGTCTTTCAAACCACGGAAGGAACGTGGTAAAATTACATGTAATCGGTCATGTAAAACTCTGTCCTCATGAGATAACGATCTAAAATACGTTTTGGGTTGTTTTTTTGCTATAGAGGAAAAAAAAATGCAGCGGCGATAGGCCCACGGTGAGAAGGCGGCCGCTCGCGGTGGTACGTTCCGGTCACGTGACCCAGCGAACTGGGCCGGGGGAGGTTCCCGCCTTGTGACCTGTCATTTTACCTCAGGCACAGGGGGCCGCCATTTTCTACTGCTTCCCTTAGTGCAGGAGCTGTTAATAGCCTTTGTGTCAGTGCGGCCGCAGGCTGTAATAATAGCCTGTTTCTAAGTAAGGCATTGGAGGTTAATAATAGCCATCTCTGGCTGTAATAATAGCCGGCCTGGCAGCCGGTATAGCGGGGGCAGAGCTATGTAACCGCTTTATAGCGATAATGGGCATCATCAGCCCGCGCCTCCACTCACTACCAACAGCGAGCATTCAACATCATAATGGTTTATGGAGGATTGTCCCTTTAATAATATTACTAGATGGAGGGAAGGAAGCTGCTACTTGGATTACATGTGTCAATGTGTCCCATGGCAGAGCTGGGATTTACAGATAGTGATAGCTATTCTGATTGGGTGATTAGAGCTACCATTTGATTTCATAGCTACAAGTTTTGGTGAATGTGTAACATGTTTAGAGGGACAGTCTAAGCAACACAATCACTTTATAGTAAAGAAACATTTTGTTCTAAGTATGTAATACAACATATGTGTTTATAGTGTGTCCCAGTCACACAGGCCGCCACTAGAAGTGTTTCCTGGGACAGCACTGGATGGAGGTGCTGAGTGTTTCTCATAGATATGCATTGAATCAATGCATCTTTGTGGGGAGATGCTTATTTGGCGTGGAGTTTTGTTGCACATGCGCAGTAGCCTCCCAATGAGCACTGGAGTGGCTGAGAACATCAAATTTGAGCAGTGTGTTGCGTTCCTTTAACTCTTTATTTGAGAGGCTTGTGTAACATATTCATCCTCACCTTGCGTTCAGCAGCCATGCATCTGCACGAATGACGCTTGCGGCATGTTAAAGGACGCCGGGGATTCCTTAACCAAATGGAGTATCATTTTGAGTCCTCACTGGGATCCTTTCCCACAGAGCTAAAATTGGTTACCTGATGAACCAAATAAAAAGTAAAGCTTTAGCTTGGGCCAATCTGTCATGGGAGAGTAATAGGAGTGTGGCAAACAATTACCAGGAATTCCTTATGGAATTTAAACTTACGTTTGAACCATTACGCAGGGAGGAAGACTCCTCCACTGCTCTGATGCACATCAGACAAAGGAATCTGTCTATCTCGGAGTACGCCATAGAATTCCGTGCCTTGGCTTCCGAGGTAGACTGGACCAACAGTGGGTAATCTCTGCATTTTAAAACGGAATATATGAAAATATGCTAGATGAGATTGCTGCCAAAGATCTACCCAAGAAACTTAACAAGTTTATCACATTTGTTATGCAAATTGACAATAGACTAAGAAGCAGAGAAGCTACTAGAAAGAAGACCAGACGGATGACTATGCACCCCGTTTCTTCAAACCTGTTATTCCTGACCTTCCTACACAGTCCGAACCTGAACCCATGCAGTTGGGGTTCACTAGACTGTCAGAGGCCGAAAGACATTATAGGAGAAAAGAAGGTCTATGTCTATACTGCGGTAGTAGAGGACATATGAGAAACAATTGTCCCATTCGTCTGGAAAACTATCGCACCTAAGCGCCTTAAAGGGGACAGGTGTAATGGAGATGTCCTCTGAAAAGAATAAATATAGATTTCTCCTTGATATTTCGATTATCTCTTTTCATGCAACGCTCTGATGGACTCAGAAGCTGTTGGAAATTTCATTGATGTCCAATTTGGTAAGGGTAATGCTATACCTGTCAAGGAGAGACTATCACCTCTAGCTGTAGAGGCCATAGATGGGAGACCACTCTCACAACCATTAACTACTCACACAACTTTACCCATTAGTATGTCCATTGGAGCCTTGCACAAGGAAGATATTACATTTCAGGTTATTGCATCCCCTTCCTGTCCTATCATATTAGGCTTTCCTTGGTTTAGCAATATTGATTGGGCTAATGGGGAAATATTGGAATGGGGTAAGGATTGTGAGGGAAGGTGTACAGTACATATCACCAAGAGAGTGGCTACTACGAATTACCCGCCATTACCCCTCAAACTCCCGAAGTTCCCATACAATACCAGGACATTAAGGAAGTATTTAGCAAGACGCAGTACAATGTATTGCCTCCCCACAGACCATATGACTGTTCCATAAGCTTACTACCCGGCGCTATGCCTTGTAGGGGAGCAGTTTATGCTCTGTCCCCACAGGAAAGAAGAATAATGGAGGAATATATTAAGGACTCACTGAGTAAAGGCCATATACGCAAACCATCCTTGCCTGCTGGTGCAGGGTTCTTTTTTGTGTCAAAAAAGGATGGTGAGTTACGCCATTGTATCGATTACAGGGCATTGAACAAGGTCACCATTAAGAACGCCTACCCCATTCCTCTTATTGCTAAGTTGTTTGACAGGCTCCAACGCGCTAAAATATTTACTAAGCTTGACCTTAGAAGTGCTTACAATTTAGTAAGAATCAAGGAAAACCATGAATGGAAGACTGCATTTAATACCAGAAGTGGAAACTATGAGTATCTGGTGATGCCATTCGGGTTGGCAACACTCACGCGGTTTTCCAAGATTTTATTAATTAATTTACTCGTTTGTCTTAGTCTATCTGGCTGACATCCTTAATTATTCCCCTGACATCCAAACTCACCACGATCATGTCAGACAAGTTTTGCAAACCTTATTGAAAAATCACCTAATTGTAAATTAGAGAAATGCATCTTTGATCAGTCAGAAGTATAGTTTTTAGGATATAATATTTCTGCCTTGGGGTTTCAGATGGATCCTAAAAAACTGGAGTCCCACTTGTCCATGGATTTCATTGTCAAACTTCCTAGTTCTAATGGCTATACCACTATTCTCATGGTTGTTGACCGTTTTTCTAAAATGGCTCATTTTGTCCCACTCAAGAAATTGCCGTCATCACGAGACCTGGTACTGATCTTTATACGTGAGATTGTCCGTCTGCATGGCATTCCTCACAATATTGTATCTGATAGAGGCTCTCAGTTTGTATCCCAGTTCTGGAGGGCTTTTAATAAGCAATTGGGGATTGAGTTTTTGACTTTTTCAACCTCTTATCACCCCCAGACTAATGGTACGGCTGAGAGGGCTAACCAGTCTTTGGAACTATATTTGCGTTGTTTTGTTAATAGCTCTCAAGACAAGTGGTCCGAATTTCTACCATGGGCCGAGTTTGCTAGAAACAATGCTGACCATGACTCCTCTGGGCATAGCCCATTTTTTGTTAATACTGTCCAGCACCCTACTGTCCTCCCGACTTTTTTCTGACATGGCTATTCCCGCTTTGGATGACTGTCTTGCCTCTATTCGTGATGCCTGGGTCAAAGTTCACTCCGCCCTGGGGACTGCTGCTGTTTCCAGCATTATGCTGGTAAACGGCGAGGTGCCAACCCTGTTTACCAAGTGGGTGAGAGGGTTTGGTTATCTTTGCGTAACATCAGGCTTAAAATCCCTAGCATGGAATTTGCTCCTAGGTTCCTTGGGCCTTTTTGTGTCCTTCGGAGGCTCAATCCCGTTTCGTACTCTCTGGCCCTTCCGGCCTCCTTGAAAATTTCTAACTCCTTTCTTGTCTCTTTGCTCAAACCTCTTATTTGCAATAAATATACTGTCCCAAGTGTTCCCCCTCCTCCCTTGGTTATTTCTGGACAGGAGGAGTATGAGGGCTCTTCCATAATTGATTCCAGGTTTTCTCGGGGCACTTTACAGTACTTAGTGGATTGGAAGGGTTATGGTCCGGCCCACCGTTCTTGGGTTCCAGCCTCTGATATACATGCTGGCTGCAAGATCCGCTATTTTCATGTTAAGTTTCCTCTTAAACCTGGTCCTGCCCGCTCGGTGGGCGGTCTTCAGGTAGTGGGTAATGTAACATTTTCATCCTCACCTTGCGGTCAGCGGCCATGCATCTGCACGAATGACACTTGCGGTATGTTAATGGACGCCGGCTGCTTACGTAACTGATGACGGCATGCACGTGGTGTTGCGCATGCACTGCGCGCATGTTTTGGGGTCAAAGAGCTATCACGGCCAATCAGAAAGGTAAAGCAGGTATAAAAGCTTAGAATTACCTTTCCTCATTGCCCTGTCATGGTTTCCCTAGTGGTTGTCCGACAGCACGTTCCTTATTCTGGTTATTTGATTTTGGCATTTATTTTGACTTCCTTGTTTTCTGGTATCCCTGACCTCTGGTTTTCCTTTATCGTTGTGTCCCTTTTTGTGTCCCCTGACCTTGGCTATTCCTGACTATTCTTTGGTACGTTAGTCCGGCCATTCTAAGGCCCGGTATACGTTACCTAATAGTCTCCTGTGTTACACAGTTCTACATGCTGGATCATACTGTAATCCTGACAGCTTCCCAGTCTGGACTTCCCCGTTGCTCCTTCTAGTGAATTCATTTAAAAATATAATCTCCATCAATCTAATGCTTTTCAATAGAGAACCATTGGTGGTCCTTCTGCACCAACAAGTTTTCCTGACTGAGAAGCATCTCTATGACGAGCTGTGACAACTGAAATTGAACACTTATTGGCACCTTCCTCCTCCCCTAATATCTTAAAGAAATATTCATATTGACTGTGCTGGAATTTCACTGAAATTCCAACTCAGTCAAGAAACATACTGAGAAAAAGTAGGGACTACGTTGTCTCTGTATATATTACCGTATATACTCGAGTATAAGCCGACCCGAATATAAGCCGAAGCCCCTAATTTTACCACAAAAAACTGGGAAACCTTATTGACTCGAAAATAAGCCTAGGGTGGGAAATGCAGCAGCTACTGGTAAATTTCTAAATTAAATTAGATCGCAATAAAATTACATTAATTGAATATTTATTTACAGTGTGTGTATAGAATGAATGCAGAGTGTGTGTTTGTGTGTGTATATATAATGAATGCAGTGTGTGTGTGTTGTGTGTTGTGTGTGTGTATATAATACAGTGTGTGTGTGTTTGTGTAGTGTGTGTAAACTGGATGAGGGGAGGGCATTTTTATTTTAATTTTGTAATTTTATATTATTTTAATATTATTATATTATTATTTTAATAATAATATTATTATTTTAATATTTGCATTATTGTCCCCTCTCCCTGCTTGTTGCCTGGTCAGGGAGGGGGGACAAAAAAACATTTTTTTAAAAATAATTCAAATATTAAAATAATAATATAATAATAAAATAATATTAAAATATAATATTAAAATAATATTATTTTATTATTATTTTAATATTTGCATTATTTTTTTTAATGGTTTTTTGTCCCCCCTCCCTGCTTGTTGCCTGGCCAGGGAGGGGGGACAAAAAACATTTTAAAAAAAATAATGCAAATATTAAAATAATAATATAATATTATATTATTATTTTAATATTATATTATTATTTTAATATTTGCATTATTTTTTTTTAATGTTTTTTGTCCCCCCTCCCTGGCCAGGCAACAAGCAGGGAGGGGGGACAAAAAAACATTTAAAAAAATAATGCAAATATTAAAATAATAATATAATATTATATTATTATTTTAATATTATATTATTATTTTAATATTTGCATTATTTTTTTTTAATGTTTTTTGTCCCCCCTCCCTGGCCAGGCAACAAGCAGGGAGGGGGGACAAAAAAACATTTAAAAAAATAATGCAAATATTAAAATAATAATATAATAATATTTTAACTTTATTATTATTATTATTAAACTAAAATAATACTGAATCCCTGGTGGTCCAGTGGCATTGGCAGTTCAGTGGGGGGCTGACAGGGAGCTCTTACTTACCTTCCTGCAGCTCCCTCCTCCTCCGTGCAGCTCCTCTGTCAGCTCCGTTCTGTTTACAGTGCAAGTCTCGCAAGACCCGCAGGTCTCGCAAGACTTACACTGGGAGCAGAACGGAGCTGACAGAGGAGCTGCAGGAAGGTAAGTAAGAGCTCCCTGTCAGCCCCCAACAGGACCGCCGGGTTTGTAATGAGCCCGGCGGTCCTGGTCTGTATTGTGGCAATGTAAATTGCCACAATACAGACATTGACTCGAGTATAAGCCGAGTGGGGGTTTTTCAGCACAAAAAATGTGCTGAAAAACTCGGCTTATACTCGAGTATATAGGGTACCTCCGTCTGACACTATTAGACACTGGATGAAGCTACCGTCGTGTCATTCACTGGCTACAAGGACTTGGATTTGTCTATGGAGGATCTCAAGGGATTCTCCATAGACATCAGTGCTGTACTCTTGCGCATCTAGGCGCTTGAAGAGGACCCGCGAGAAGAAAATGTATTTCTGTGGATGCTATAAAACTTAAAGGGTTATTCACTCAAGTGAGAATTCAAAGTGAATTTTTTAAATTTAAGATCAAAATAGCCAAACTGGAAACTCGGCTAATATACCAACCAGTACAGCTATCTTGGCTTTAAATTCCCACTTTATTGAATAGCTCAGTTAAAGGGTGAGTTTATAACATTTTGAATTTTAAGCAGCTTGTTGCGACTATGGTGTAAGGAGTTTATAGGTGATATCCCCTATGTTTTTGTTTTCAAGGTGTTTGACAAAAAAAAAGCTCCTCCAGACCTTCACATGCTTCTCAGATAGAAGTTCTCTAAGCTGCCAATAGTGCGAATAGTCAATCATTAGTGTGAAGACAGATTGTCAAGGATGACACTGCAGACAGATTATTCTGTGTAGCCAAATTAACTCCTTGAGGACGGAGGCAATTTTACAAGTTCCCCTCAAAACAAAACCTGGAATTTGCACTATAAGTCTGTTCAACCATAAGTTTTACCTCTTTCACATTCAGTACACACACTTACATATTATTTTGTTCAAGAGAAACAGAAACAATGTTTTTTTAATTTTCAAGTTTTGCATGACATTTTAACTGTGAATGTCATAATACTGTTCGATTTTACTGCAATACGATACACATATTTGTATTCATCGATGTCTCACGAGTGCAACAGTTCCCCCATGTACAGGTTTTGGAAAGTTACATGGTTAAATATAGGGCTTTCTCAGTTTACAGTTTTTACACATTAATCAGCATCTCCTCATAGAGATGCATTGAATCAGTGCATTTCTATGGGGAACATTCAGCCCACCAATGAGAGTGTGAATATGCTGAACGCTAGTGCTGCAAAATAGGAAGCAGCTCTAGTGGTCATCTGAGTAACTACACCTAGAGGTGTTACTAAGCAGCAATGTAAACACAGATTTTTTTTCTCTGAAAATGCAGTGTTTACCTTCACCTCCCTGGCGGTCTAATTATGTAAGTATTTTTGAATGTTAACCCCTTAAGGACGGAGCCAAATGTACACGTTGTGAACGAAACAAAATGTAAACAAAACCTGGCATTTGCGCTACATGTCTGTCCAACCGTAATACACCTCTTTCATAGTAAATGCACCCACCCTTATTATATATCATTTTATTCAGGGGAAACAGGGCTTTCATTTAATATCAAATATTTAGCTATGAAACATAATTTAATATAAAAAAAATGGGAGTAAATAAGATTTTTTTTTGATTTTTTTTTAGTTCTACATGACATTTTAACGGTCAGTGTCATAATACTGTTTGCTTTTACTGCAATAAAATACACATATTTGTATTCAGCAAAGTCTCACGTGTAAAACAGTACCCCCTATGTACAGGTTTTATGGCGTTTTGGGAAGTTACAGGGTCAAATATAGCCCGTTACATTTGAAATTGAAATTCGCCAGATTGGTTATGTTGCCTTTGAGACTGTATAGTAGCCCGGGAATGAAATTTACACCCATAATGGCATACCATTTGCAATAGTAGACAACCCAAGGTATTGCAAATGGGGTATGTCCAGTCTTTTTAGTAGCCATTTGGTTACAAACACTGGCCAAAGTTAGCGTTAGTATCTGTTTGTGTGAAAAATGCAAAAAAACGCCAATTTTGGCCAGTGTTTGTGACTAAGTGGCTACTAAAAAAGACTGGACATACCCTGTTTGCAATACCTTGGGTTGTCTACTATTGCAAATGGTATGCCATCATAGGGGTAATTTTCATTCTTGGGCTACCATAGGGTCTCAAAGGCAACGTAACCAATCTGGCGAATTTTAATGTGAAAAAATGAAACGCAAGCCTTATATTTGGCGCTGTAACTTTTGAAAACACCATAAAACCTGTACATGAGGGGTACTGTTGTACTCGGGAGACTTCGCTGAACACAAATATTTGTGTTTCAAAACAGTAAAAGGTATTGCAGCAATAATATCATCCGTGTAAGTGCTGTTTGTGCGTGAAAAATGCAAAAAACTTCACTTTTACTGGCGATATCATTGTTGTAATACATTTTACTGTTTTGAAACACTAATATTTGTGTTCAACGAAGTCTCCCGAGTAAAACAATACCCCAATTTACAGGTTTTATGGTGTCTTGGAAAGTTATAGGGTTAAATATAGTGCTAGCAAATTAAATTCCCTATACTTTCGGCATGGGTTGTCAGGCAGGTCCCGCTAATTGTAATTAATTAGGATACCTAATTATGTAAAAATATTACATAAATATATGTGTAGAATTAATATATGTATATACATACATATGTGTATATATACATATATATATATAATTTTTTTAAATATTTTTATTTATATATAGGTGTATATATATAGTGATATATACGTATATATTTATGTATATAGATATATATATTATTTCGTTCTACGTGTATTTTGATATAAATATATATATATATTAATATCACAATACAGTTAGAACGAAATAACAAACATCTATATATTTTTTTTATTATTTATTTTTAATTATTTTTTTAATTTTATTTTTTTACGTATTTACATTTTTATATTATATATAAATATATATATATATATAACAATAATTATATATATATATATTTAATCAGTATTAGTCTACGTGTAATTTGATAGTAATATATATATAAATAATTATATATATTAATATTTAAATACACTTTGTGTATGTGTAAATGTGTGTGTGTGTGTGTATATATATATATATATATATATATACTTAGATCATATATATATAATATATATGATCTAAGTATATTTTATATTTAACTGTAATTTTTTTTTTTAACTAATATTTTTTTTTTATTACAGGACAGGGGGCAGAGACAGTGTCAGCCAGTGATTTTACATCACTGGCTGACACACAGGATCAGTGATCACAGTGACTGCCTGTCACTGTGATCACCTCCTGCAGATTGGGTAATTGGCCACAGGGGGGAGTGCCTGGGTGGTACAAGCACTCCCCCCTTCCAATCTGCAGGGGGATCTGTGTGCCAGTTACATGTGTCAGCCAATAGGCTGACACATGTAACACTGATCGCAGTGACAGGCTGTCACTGCGATCAGAGCACTCTGAGATCGCAGTGACAGCCTGTCACTGCGATCTCAGACAGTGCAGATCGCGGTCACTGACCCCAGGGGGACTGCCTGGGGGGCCAGGTAAGTCCCCCGACCGCGATCTGCACAGGGGAGAGCCGCTGGCCACGTGTGTCAGCCGATTTGAAATCGGCTGACACACGTTAAAAACTGATCGCAGTGACAGCCTGTCACTGCGATCAGTGACTGCAGATCGCGGTCACCGGCCACAGGGGGGGTTGCCTGGGGGGCCGGGCATCCCCCCCGACCGCGATCTGCAGCGGGCGACTAGCGCCGGCCACATGGGCGGCCATTAAAGTGAGGGCGTACTATTACGCCCGCCGGCGTTTAGAGCAGGCTCCTGCAGGGCGTAATAGTACGCCCTCCGTCCTTAAGGGGTTAAAGTGGTACATTGTTTTGTATGTAAATTTGTTGTTTCATATTGTAGGCTT